TCGGGGGAGCACGCCACTACGCAGCACAGCGGCGCTGCTCCCTAGAAGACTCCCGCATATCCTTCTGCACCTGCATCAGGACACACGATATCATCAAGCAGTGGTGAACGGATCCGACGGCGAGCCCAAGCAAGTCTGGAAGCAGTTCCATCCCGAGCGACATTGATCAATCGTTCCATGACATGTCGTTGGTGAGATGCATATACCCCTGCAGCTCGAACATGGACCTGGATCGGACATGTATGCTATGGCGATACACCAATGACAAAAAAGGCGCTCCTGAAAAGTCACTCTGTAAGATACATGATCACACTGACCCGCGGTGCGCTGATATCCACTCACCAATCCTCTTCGTCTTGAATCCCCACGCCTTTGCCTGACGCTGCAAACATGCCCATCAACCCACACCAGAGCTTCACTGCTTTTCTTCGAACGGCCTATCCACTGCCCAACACAATCCCTCCTGGCTGTCCCATGCGGGCAAGAACTGTTACCACATACGAGCGGTCAGCGTGGTTGGTCAGCTCCATACCGAGTCTGAAGACCGCCTCATGCAGGGAACGCGATCTGTGGGCCGCCACGTCCGAGACCACCTGCATTTCAATGAATAGAATGGTGGCTAGAGTTTCCATAAGACGAGGGGAAAACGATTCGTAGCGAACGTGTCACCATCAGGACAATGATGATGTCAGGTGGTGTACCTCTCTGGCCTTTCGTCGGTGATCGCTGCTGCAAACGTCCGCACCAATGCGTGATGGCACGGGGTGCTCCTTGGACGTACACGTTTGTTTGGCAGGGCACGACAGACTTAAGCTCGCTGCGGATCAATTGCGCGTCACGTGCAATCGCTTGGGACGGGGCGGAGAAACAGGGAAGAAGAGAGGCGCAGGGCGAGGAATAAGGAGAGGGCAAGCGAGGCACGGGTACGCGGATGGAGTGGAAAAGGCAAGGAGCTGGGGGGGGAGGGGATGCGGAGGGAGGCTGCCCGGTCCCTTGGGCAAAAGCTGCAACACCTTGGGGTCGATCACGAACCGGTCGTCCTCTTGCCTGGCAGCCGCTCTTCCACCCCTCACGCTGCACTAATCAAATGGAGGGATCGCCATTCATCTACTCTGCTGTGCTCGATGGCTGTCTAGTCCATAAGCGAATGCAAGCTTGGGCGGTCTCGGTGACGACAACCGCCAGCTAGCGTGCCGGGGAGGCCCGTCATATGAATAACTGAAACCCGACCCGCTTGAAGCACGAACGACCTGGCTCCTCCTCCTCCTCCTGCTCCGCCTTTTCATCCTCCTCCTCAACCTCCTCCTCATCCTGCTCCTCAACCTTGTCCTCCTAAACCTCCGCTCAACCTCATCCTCCTCCTGCTCCTCCTCCTCCTCCTCCTGCTCCTCCTCCTCCTCCTCCTGCTCCTCCTCCTGTTCCATCTCCTCCTCCTCCTCCTCCTCCTCCTCCCTTCCTCCTCTTCCTCCTCCTCTTCAGCCATGCTACGCCACGAGCGTTCACGACGGCATGGGGCACAAACTGGCGCTGCGGCAGACAGAGGTTAGAACGGCAACGCCGCCGTGGGCTGGTGACGCGGGTGCTGGGAGGCCTACGAGGGTGCTCAGCCTCAGCAGCCGTCAGGGGCGTGGTAGGAGAGTCGACGAGACGACCACAGCGCAATAAGGCAGCATGGCACGCTGTGGAGCCACCAAGCCATCACGCCGGTTGGGCACGAGGGCGTGCGGGCACAGACCCGGACAAGGTGGGTCGCGAGAGATCAGCGCAGTGCCCATTGGGCTCACGCGAAGACTCACCGCGGTTGGTGACGCGGGGGCGAAGGGAGCGGCACCACCTGGCGTCGATCTGATACATCTGAGCTGGACGTTAGCTACGGCGCGATGGAATATATGTTCAGCCGTCCCGTCACGTACTCCAACCCCAGCGATACACGGGAACAACATATTGAGCAGGGACCGACCGTCCCGGCATTCTTATAGTCCTACCACGAAATGTTCTTAGAACCCAAACATGTTCTACAAACAAAAACAACGTTCTTAGAACATAAACTCGACTTGATAAAACAAGACAGGCTCCGCCAGAAATGTTCTAAGAACATTTCGTGGAAACCACGACAGGTTCTTAGAGCATTGTTTGGTGGGGCTATGGGCGAGCCAGGACGCTTCGCCACCGCTTGACCATAATTATGCATGGCCGTCCCCGTGCCAACGAGCGAAAGGCGGCAGGGCCGGCAGCACGTTGTCACACTAGCCTCCCGCGAACGAGGGGAGCAGGCGCCAGGGGCGGGGGAGGCCCGCCCCCTTTGCGGCGGGCAATGCAAAGAGTCCGCCTTGGACCCCCGGCCCCACGGCGGGGGGAAACCTGCAGGGTGGGCGGGGGAAAAAAAGGCAGCTGCAGCTGCGAAAGCCAGACGCCATCGGGGCCATCAGCACGTCGCAGCGCCTGCCTGCGAGTCGCGGGGCGGTGGCAGCGAGGCTCGTCGAGCGAGCGCAGACCGCTGGCAGAGTGGCGGACAGCGCGTCGTCCGCGGCCGTGGGGGGAGGACGTGGCTCCGGATTCCGTTCGCGACCGCCCGAGCAAAGGCTGTGCACACTTCCGCTCGCAAGTTCCTGCAGACCGCGCGCACTTGGAGATCGTGCAAAGGCGGGCATCAGCAGCAAGGCAATCAGAGCAAGCCAACAAAGCAGCGCCAGGAGGGCCGCAGACACGCCGACAGCCGCATCTTTTCCACGGTGGGCGGCGGCAGCCAGGTCGTCATTTTCTGGTGGTGGGTGGGTCGGGCGCAGACCCCGAGCTCTGGGCTGAATTTGGTCAAGCAGCTACTCTCAAACGAATTGCACTTGCGAGTGCGGTTAAGTCTTAAGAATGCGCGTGCGCACGCACGTTTATGCAGATACAAGATCGCGCGTGCGTGTCTATGGATGTGCGTGTGTGTGTGTGTGTGTTGTGTGTGCGCTGGGTACCATATGTGTGTGTGTGCGTGTGTGCGTGTGTGTGTGTGTGTGCGTGTGTGTGTGTGTGTGTGTGTGTTGTGCGTAGCGTGCGTGCGTGTATCATATTTTCCCCAGTGACTGCACGGATGCTGCGCTGCGCGCCGCTGAGCTTTATCTGCGCACCTCTTCTGCGCATCTTGGGCAACGCTGGGCCATAACAGGCCTCCTGATGGCTGCCCGCTGCTAACTGGACGCCTCCATCGAGGGCGTTCAATTACCTCCGACTCAAGCAAATTTACTTCCATGGCATCTCTCTCCGCCGCCCGACCCTCCGCCGCCTCTTCAGCCGACGCTGGGCCCGGCGTGCAAGTGAGTTTGGCATGTGCGAAGCTCAGATTGCTCTTCGGGTCTCGCCACGCTCCCCCCCACACCCCTCCATGCAAGTAACCCAGACCCCGGCGTCACGATTTTTTCATAACGTCGACCCTGGAGGTCTCGACCCATTCCCCAGGACTGGTCTTTCGTCCTGAGCCGGCTTTTGACGGTCCCAGGGTCCGCTGAAGGCCCCTGGAGGCCGAAAACAGCTAAAAACCTCCCGTCGCGTTTTTTTCACGACGCGAGGGGGTCTGGGAGCGCGTCTATGCGTGCCGGTGCCTGCTTCTTTCCAGCCATCGTGCTACCAGCAGGGCGCCGGACAAGGAACGAGCGGGCTCTTCGTGCCACGGCGAGCCTCGGCCACGAGTAGGTTCCCCGGCATAATACGGATCCGAGCAGCGGCCCGACAGCCAGAGCCCCTCCTGAGCCCAGGTTTGTCCCCACTTCAGCGCCATGCAGGTGTACACCCTGCGAAATGCTTAAGAAATCATGGGTTAAGAAATTCATAGTCTCAGAGCTTGAATAAAAACCCAACATGTCTATTACAATCTTAAGATTTACATTGAAACGTTAAGAATAATCGAGACTCTGGCCGAAAACTTAAGTTTTCTTAAGCATCGCCTAAGGTGTACCTTTCCTGCGGGTCACGAGCACGAGTGATGCGCGTATGGAGCCGCCATGTCCGAGGCGTTCTCCTTTGCCGGCAGGAGCATATCCCAAGAACGCCAATGCACGAACTTCAAGTTGAACCGCTCCCAGCCGTTACGTGCGGGATGCTTGCAGAGGTGCGCAGAAGGTACCTATGCATCACCATCGTGCCTGGCGAGGGCCATCCATCCTGAGCCCCGGCATTGTGCGTATACGCCATCCCGACCGGGGCCAGCAACGCTTCTGTTGGCAGCGGCTGGTGGTTCTGGGTTCTGAACTGCTTGGGGCTCGAGGACATCGGGCAGGAGGCCACATGCGTTCAACATCGGACCCAGGATCCCCTCCTGTGGTCCATCTGGTTAGACGAGCGCGTTCCACTACTCGCAAAGTAACCACTCGCAAGTGGCCTGGGATCCACCGCGGGGGATCTACGATAAATCACATCACAGCAGACATGTGTTTTTCGGACGTTTGCGAGTAGGCACTTTGCGAGTAGTGGACCGCGCTCGGTGACTGGTGCGATCTTGCACCACGAATCCATTTCTGACGGTCCCGGAGCCCGAGAAACGGCCCCCGGAGCCCGAATCAGGCAAAAAGCCTTCCCGGACCCAGAACCTTGGACCTGCCCTCCCTTCCTGCTGGCCGGAACCAGTGCTGGGCCACCTCAGACCCCAGACGGCTCCCAGGCCTGCGTGCCGGGGGAATCATCCTGGGGCCCAGGAGGACCCTGGGCATGCATGGCAGTGTTAGCGCCTCCCAGATGGGGTCCGAGCACATGGGGTCGGAGGATCGCGCGGCATCGCCAGTGCATCGGCGATGGATCGTCGATGCATCGCCGACGTCGGCGACGTATCGGCGACGTCGACGTGGAAAAAATCGGGCTCCGCATCGAGCTGCATCGTCGATGCATCGGTGATGCGGCGCCATCCTCCGACCCCATCAACTCCGATCCCATCTAGGAGGCCTATGTCCTCATACAGGCGAATTTGTAAAAAGCAATGAAAAAAAACAGTCAAACAGTACATCTCAACCAAAATCAAAAGAGCACGAAACATCGTCATAATATCGTTTTGCTTACGATTCTTGAACACTCCCCCTGCAGAGGGGCATGCCCGACTTACATCCACTCCGATCCCATCCATCGGGGATGGACAGGACCCTCTTGAGCAAAACGTGGTTCAGTGGAAACGCCCTCGGGCCCAGCGCAGGCCTGGAAAAGGACGGCCGCGGCGCCCGCTCGAGAACCGAGAACGGACAAGTCGCTGATATCGACGTGCCGGGGCGGGGCCTCCGTCCACCCCCGCATCTAGAGGAGGCGCGGGAGGCCTGCCCGCAGCAGGCCCGCGGACGACGCAGGGCCCCCCCGCGCGGCGCCGGGGCGGGCGGACGACGCGGGGGCACGCCGGCGGCGCCTCCGGAGGTTGCCGGCCCCGATCTCGGCCTCCGCCACCTGCCCCCGGGAGGCCGGGGCCCGCGGCGGGGAGGGGCGGCGCCAGCCTGGGCCCACCGCTCTTCTTCCCTGACCTTCTCAGGGGGCCAGAGAGGCAGCGTCACGAACCTCGACGTCTCCGGAGCATTACAGAGCATTCGAATCCCTGGCGAGGTCTTACAGTCGGGGCGTTGACCTAAGGAACCCTAAATAAGGAACGAGGCCCCTTTTCTCCATAAGTTAACCTTCGATTTCCTGTCGAAAACATGAGGAAAGCCTGAGGCAAGCTGTGAACACACTTCAGGAACGCGGAGCCCCTCCCCAACGAAAAGGGTTCCTTCTTCAGGGCCCCGACTGTATAGGCAGTCTCCCCTGAGATCGTGGCGTCTCCATGTTTTCGAGCCCGGCGTGTTCGCCTTTGTTCGAGCCCCGGGGCCCTCGCAGGTCGATCCGGCTCGATAAAATGACGCGGGCAGCTGTGGACGAGGGCTCGGGGTGTGATTCACCAGCCTCGAACGTATCCCTATCCCTAAGATTGGCACGCCAAGAGGCGATGACAATCTTAGGGATTCGCCCTCAAAAAAGGAGGGAATCCCTAAGATCGGCATCGTGATGAGGAGGTGCTCAGCATAAGGATAGGGATATGTTCCAGGCTGGTAAATGATTATTGTCGATGTTGCAATTTTTTCGCTTCGACGGATCACAAGGGTCTTTCGGGGTTCCGCACCAGGATCGCGCGACGGTGCGCTCGCCTTTTCGGCATCGGCCCGGACGCAAGGGAGGCGCCGCGCCGGAACCGCACCTGTGCGTGAGCAAGGTCAGGATGGGGAGGAGGAGCGGATGACCGGGAGAGTAGCCCTGGCAGGCTGGACACCAATCTGGAGGCCTCCTATGTGGAGCGACCCCACCCCCATCAAACCTCGAAACCTTCGATCCTAGATCCTAGACCCCTCCCATCGATCCTCGACCCTCGATTCTCGAACTCCTCGTGGCGATCCCGCCCCCTCACCCCCAGAAGCCTCCCAAGGTCAGTGCAGGTGGGCTCGGAGGGTCGCGACGCATCGCCGATGCATCGCCGATGCACCAGCGACGTCGGGAACATGAAAAGCGGACTCCGGATCGCGCTGCATCGCCGATGCATCGTCGATGCGGCGGGATTCTCCTGCCCCGTCTACTCCTGCCCCATTGGGTTGCCCGAAACATCCCTATCCCTATGATTGGTTCGCGCCGTCTGGGTGCTTGTCTTGAGAATTCCCCAAACTCCTGGAGGCGCATCCCATAGATTGTTATCGGCTGGGGCCTGTCAATCTCAGGGGTGGAGATGAGCTCGAGGCTGGTGAGGGAGAGGAAGACACGGACCTCTGAGGAACATCGTGACGGCAACTGTTTCCCATGGCCCTTGAAGGCGCGCTTCAGGGGACGAGTCAGACCATCACAAAACGACCTGGGGCGAACAACCCGTCCCTGGGATGGGGTCGAGAGGCCTGGTGGTCCACGTCACGACGTAAGTCATGGCGTTATGGCACCGGTTGTCTCGGGAGAGGAGGGAAGAGCACAGCAGAGAGGGGAGCAGGGGAAATGATGGAGGCAGTCTGTGCAACGTCCCCTCATCAGACGGCTGGCCCGCAACATCCGCGGTAATCCCATCCGCAATGTCTGGCCGAGGCCTGCTGGCGTTTCCGCTGCTTCCCGTGGCCGCCTTTTCCCCACCAAGTGGTGGAAAGGAGATCTGAAGGAGGGAGGGGTGTGGGGATTAGAAGCGAGGGCGGACAAGCAACGGAGAGGGGAGGTCGGCGAGGGGGTGGTGGTGGCGGCTCCGAACGACCGCGGCTCCGTCCAAAAGATGGCTGGTTCTCTCGGCGCTCGGCTTTTTTTACAAAGTATTCCAAATCTTGTTTTTGTCCCACTGCGTTTTACAATCCGATTGCTTTCGATGTTTCGAAAAGGTGTTCCCGCTGCAACGTGGGCTTCACTTTCGGATCGGAGCTTTGCTTCCGTCTTTCAGAATGGCGCTCTCGCGCCAACGTGGGCTACTTTTCTGGATCCGAATCCTTTTTCAACGTTGCCGCCCCCTCATTTCCCCTCCGCCTTTCCCAAGTTCTGCTGCTCCTCCTGCTCCTTCCGCTCCAGCTCTGGCTGCTGCTGTTCGTCCTGGTCCTTCTCCTTCCACGTCCTCAGCTTCCTCCTGGTCATCTTTCTGCCCACCCGCCACCTTCGGCGGTGGACAAACCTCCCTTTAGTAGACCTCCCCTTAGTGAAAACGGCCTTGGACCGACACCGACGGACCTGGACCCGCAGAAATGACGGCCGCGACGCCCCCTCGCGCACCGAAAACGGCCAACTCCTCAATCGACGCGTCAGGGCAGGAGGTCTGCCCACCCCCGACGCCTGCTCCCCGTCCTCCTCCCGGGCCCCATGTGCACAGCTGCCCTCTTTCCGATGGCGCGCAACACGATGGGGTCTGGTCGCCAGCCTTCCCGACTACCTGCAACTTCCGACGCGTTGCATACGTGCACCCTGGCAGTACTGGTACTCAGCTACAGCCAGCCCCTTCCACCTGCTGGCCCGCCGCTGAGGTGCGGCGTGAGGCTCCGCCCCGCCGCTTCAGGTTGATTCGTCGTTGCGTGTCCCGCTTTGACTGGACCCGCCGCTGGCGCGCTCGCCTGCGGCCGCTGACTAAAAAGTAACACGATGGGGGGTATTTTTCTGCTGGAGCTCCAGAGATGGGGTGCGGCACGCGCCCGCGGACAGCGCAGCAGAAGGGAGAAGAACGGCGCCACGGGGAAGGGACGGCGAGGGAGGGAGGGGAGATGGCTGACGTGGCGCGAGCGCACCCAGCTTGTTGTCTTCCCCCCCCCTCTCCCTCTGCCCTCTCCCTCCCTCTCCTACCCTCTCCCTCTCTCCACCCTCTCTCTCTCTACCCTCTACCCTCTCTGACTCTGCCCTCTACCCTCTCTCTCTCTACCCTCTCCCTCCCCCCCTCTCTCTACCCTCTCTCTCTCTCTCTACCCTCTCCCTCTCTCTACCCTCTAGCTTGTTTTTTCCCCCCCCCCCCCCCCCCTCTCTGCCCTCGCCCTCCCTCTCCCTCCACGTCTGCCCCCTGCCCTCCTCCGATCACCCCTTCCCCGGCTGCTCCTCTGCAGCCGGGGCCCGCACAGGGGAGGTACGAACGGGGGGAGCACAGATCCGGAGAGACGGGTTGGGACGAAAAGGGGGGAGGAGGAGGGAGGAGGAGGAGGAGGAGGAGGAGGAGGAGGAGGAGGAGGAGGAGGAGGAGGAGGAGGAGGAGGAGGAGGGGGGGGGGGGAGGGCGAGGGCGAAGCCAGGCCATGTGGTGGGTGGGGGGAGGAAGCGACCCCGTCGCGACCTCCCTGGCAAACTCCTCGGCGATGCTCACCGCGGCGAGGTTTCGCTCCCTGTCCACTGCAATCACGAGGCCAGGGGCCCATCGCATCGATTCCCTGCTCCTCGGGGGGCACACGGCAAGGGCCATTGCAAACTCCGGCGCGAAGGAAGCGATAACAAACCGTCCACGCCGCTCCCAAGCCATTCTCGTGAACGTCCTCCGCTTCCTCTGCCCCCCAACAGCGGAGACAAAGCCCTCACCGCCATCCCTCGCATTCCCCCCTTCATCACCTTCACCCTCACTCTCCGCGTCGCCCTCAACATCACCATCATCCTCATCCTCCGCTCTCTTGCGAGAAGTTGGGGGTCGTCTCTGCGCCTGCAGCCCTCGTGGGCCAAGGGCCTGTCTTATTAGGAGCCCATGCCCAGCCAATTGTGGGGGCCCTCGCAAGGACTGCAACTTCTCTGCCATTTTGTTCGAACGTTGTCAGAGGCGATCTTGGCCAAAGATGAGGCTCGCATTTCGCGGTACTCTGGGGGTCATCTGGGCCACCCTTGAACAACCAAGGCCACCCTGGGCAAGGGTAATCTCTGGCTTGCACAAGGACCGATCGTCCCGGCGTTCCTATAGGCCTACCACGACATGTTCCTAGAACCGAGAAGCGTTCCAATAACACAGGCCATATTCTTCGAGCATGCAGCCGATGTGTTAAACAAGATAGCATCAGCCAAACATGTTCTGAGAACTTCTCGTGCAGACCACAAGAGGTTCTTAGAACATTATGAAGTGGGCCTGTAGGCAAATCAGGACGCGCCGCCACTGCTCGACTGGTAGCACCTGACTTCGGAGTCTCCACACATCTGGTCTGCAGGTCTGGCGCTGTCTCCGACAAAGACCCCTTGCCCGTCGACTCACCATGCGCGCGCCCCGCCCCAGACCGCCCCCGATGGATTACCGACGCCCCAGGAGCGAAGCTGCTCATAGAGGGAGACCTGTCGGAGCTCGTGTTCAATCGGATTCTGGAGAATTCGCTTGCGTAAGGGGGGGATGCCCACTGGAGAGCCCATACGGGGAAGCTGGAGATCACTCAAGTCGAAAGATACCTGCACGCTCTCCCTGCCCAGCACTGGATCAAAAGCCGACGCTGGGGAAGGGGGGGAAGGGGGGAGGGGGGAAGGGGGGGAGGGGGTCAAAATGTCATGCAAGCAAACTTGCCAGAGCCCAAATGAGAAGAGTCTCCCGCCGAGCGTCGGGCTGGACGACGGTTGGGAGGAGGGCTTAGCACAGGGAGGGACAGCGAATCGGCTCCCGCAGCTGACTTCTCCGGCGCCTCCTGGCGCTAATGCATGGAGGAAAAGCGCCCGGCGGCGGGGCCGAACGCAGCTGCACGCACCAGCTTTCGTACCCCCACCCTCCCCGTATCCCCCGGAGGAGGAGGAGGAGGAGGAGGAGGAGGAGGAGGAGGAGGAGGAGAAGGAGGAGGAGGAGGAGGAGGAGCAGGAGGAGGAGGAGGAGAGGAGGAGGAGGAGGAGGAGGAGGAGGAGAGAGGAGGAGGAGGAGGAGGAGGAGGAGGAGGAGGAGGAGGAGAGGAGGAGGAGGAGGAGGAGGAGGAGGAGGAGGAGGAGGAGGAGAGGGAGGAGGGGAGAGGAAGGAGGAGGAGGAGGAGGAGGAGGAGGAGGAGGAGGAGGAGGAGGAGGAGGAGGAGGAGGAGGAAGGAGGAGGAGGGAGGAGGAGGAGGAGGAGGAGGAGGAGGAGGAGGAGGAGGAGCCCCCCCCCCCCGTCGCCCGACCCGGAAGATGCAGAAAGCTATGGGGGGGTTCTCACGTGGGTGCGATCAGCAGGTTGGTGAAGACACGCGCGGGGGTGGTGAAGAAGCGTGCGCCCTTTTGGGCCCAGGGTGGCAGTCTAGGGGAGGAGGAGGAGGAGGAGGAGGGGGAGGACAAGGAGAAAGAGAAGGAGGAGGAGGAGGAGGAGGAGGAGGAGGAGGAGGAGCCATTTGAGGCCCCCGTTGGGGCCTGTCCTGCCATCCTCGATGCCCCACGCTTCTCGCCCCACTGCTGCCGTCCGCCCGAAACCCTCGCGTGCCCTCAGCGTGCTGGCCACTGCATCACCAGTGCGGAGGACATCGGCCGAGGTTTCTAGGTCACCCAACTGCGCGCATCGCGCCCCGCGAGGTGAGACTATCTCCGCGCCCTCGAGCCGCCCCCCTGGAGAAGGTCAACCGCTCTGACCCAGACCGCGATGCGCTCAGCGTGAAAAATTACCTTCGCGCCAACGCGGGTGACTTGGTGGCCGAGGAGTTCACGGCCACCGCGGGTTATGGCCGGCGCGTCGTGCGAAATTCGTTGGCCTTTAGTCTCGCCTCGACCGTGATCTGCGAGTTGACCGAGACCTCGGACAAACGACGAATGGTATGCTGCATGTGTACCGTAGCACCCCGCGATTGCAGATAAGAGTGAGGGTACGGCGAGGACGTCGGCGAGGCTCTGAAGAAGCTCGCCGCAGGCGCCTAACTTTTACGAATCATGAAGTGAGCCCACCGCAGGCGCCGTTTTTTCGTTAAAACAGTGTGGGTGGATCTAAGGGTGGGTCGCGGGGCGGGTCGCGGGGTGGGTGGCGGGGTGGGTCGCGGGTGGGCGCGGGGTGGGTCGCGGGTGTGTCGCGGGGTGGGTCGCGGGGTGTGTCGCGGGTGGGTCGCGGGTGGGTCGCGGGGTGGGTCGTGGGCCACAACAACACAAACAACAACAATAACATCAACAACAACATCAACAACAACAACACCAACAACAACAACACCAACACAAACACCACCAACAACACCAATAACAACACCAATAGCAGCAACAGCAACACCACCAACACCAACACCACCAACAAGGACAACAACACTCATTGTAACACTGTTCGCTCTTATCTGCTCGAGTGTCGTTCAATGTCTATTCCCCAAACCCTCTGTACCCGCCCTTTTCGTCATTGCTCCTTTTGGGGGTATAGATTTCTTTCCTGCAGGCCATGCCCTGGCAAGCGGCGGGGTGGCCGCGGACCGTGGGCCTGGCCAACGGCAGCGCTGATCGGCGGCAACTCGACCCCAAGAAGGACGGGCAGGGAACCGACCACGACGACGACGACGAAGACGAACGAAAGCGAGAGCGGGGCCACGAAGGGCAGGAAGGGGGCCACGAAGGGCGACAGCGGGGCCACGAAGGGCATGCGTACGGGGCCTCGGGGGGCGCGAAAGAGCGGGGGCCACGAAGGGCATACATATGTGGGGCCACGAAAGGCTGTGAGGGGGCCACGTAGGGCTGCAACGGGGCCACGAAGGGCAGCGAGGGGGCCACGAGGGGCGACAGCAGGGCCACAAAGCGCATGCATATGGGGCCGCGACGGGCGCGAACGAGCGGGGGCCACGAAGGGCATACATATGTGGGGCCACGAAAGGCTGTGAGGGGGCCACGTAGGGCTGCAACGGGGCCACGAAGGGCAGCGAGGGGGCCACGAAGGGCTGCAACGGGGCCACGAAGGGCAGCGAGGGGGCCACGAAGGGCTGCAACGCGGCCACGAAGGGCAGCGAGGGTGCCACGAGGGGCGACAGCGGGGCCACGAAGGGCAGCGAGATTCCGATTCTTAAGTAAGCTGTGAGGGAGTCCTAAGCGTGAGCGCGACTCCTGGGTACCTGAGTATCGGGAGCGCGGCGCTTGAGAAAACTGCAGGGAATTCCAACGAAAGAGCACGGTTTTTGAGCAAACTGCAAGCAAGTGCCCAGCGAGAGCGCGACTCCAGAGCGCCGAGGGAGCGATTCCTGCATACATTGCAAGGAAGTCCCGAGCGAGAGCGCGATTCCGAAGTAAAATGCGAGGAAGTCTCAGACGGGAGTGGGGGTCCTGGCTAAATTGTGAGGAAGTCTCAAGCGGGAGCCGTTGTTATGATAATCCGGGGCCAAGAACGCAGTTTGAGCATAACGCAGTGCGAACCCCGGGGGGAGCACTTCAACTGAAAAACACAATGGTCACCGGAGGGGGGGATCAACAATGATTATTCTTCTATAAAGAGAGTTCAACAACAACAGCAACAACAGCAACAATAACCGCAGCAATAACAACACCAGCAACAACAGACACACAAACAAACAAACACACAACCAAACAAACAAACAAACAAACAAACAAACAAACAAACAAACAAACAAAACAAACAACCAAACAACATTAGCACAAAGAATCCGCATGGCGCAATCACATTTTAGCCACGCGCCCAGGGACAATGAATGACCGTTCGGCCCGCTCACTCTGATGCATTTTTTGAACGGACGGCAACGGAGTCTGCCCGCTCCCGAGCAAATGTTGAGATCGCCGGGCGAAACACACCCGCGCTCGTCGTCCTTCCTCGGGCAAACTTCCCTGGCGAGCTGATCTCGCTCTTCCGCCAGCCCCGGAGGACTCTGCGCGTGGCTTGTATGCCCTCCTCAGGGCTCGCCCTCCTGGTCCGAGGTCCAGAGCGTCAGGTTGTCGCGAAGCAGCTGCATGATGAGGGTGGAGTCCTTGTACGAGTCCTCTGCGACGTTGTCGAGCTCGGCGATCGCGTCCTCGAACGCGGTGCGCGCCATCTTGCAGGCCTCATCTGGGTTTGCCAACACCTCGTACTGGAACACGGAGAAGTTCAGAGCAAGGCCGAGGCGAATCGGGTGCGTCACTGCCAAGTCCTTGGTGGCAATCGTCTGCGCCTCCTCGTAGGCACTCTTGGCGTCATTCGCAGCCTGCGTCTTGTCATCGCCACTGGTGTATTCGGCAATGTAGCGGTAGTAGTCGGCCTTCATCTTCTGGTAGAACACCTTCGACTCGCCGGTCGTTGCCTTTCCGATGAGACTGTTGTCCAAGACAGCAAGGATTTTCTTACAGATGTCATCCAGTTCGGATTCCACCTTCTTGCAATATTCCTTTGCGAATTTTGCATTCTCCTCGTTGCCCTTGCTGGTCTCCTTCTGCTCCACGCTGGTGATGATACGCCACGCAGCACGGCGCGAACCCACCGCGTTCTTGTAGGCCACGGACAAGAGATTGCGTTCTTCAACTGACAGCTCGTCACCCGACTTCCCCACTGCCTCCATGTGAGACGCCATCTCATCGTAACGCTCCGCCTGCTCGGCAAGCTTCGCGAAGTAGACCTCCTTCTCGCGGTTCACCATGTCTAAAGCTGGCGCAGTTTTGCAAAGTGGACCCGCGGCCCCTGCGATCTCCAAACTGATAGGACAGCTTGTTGCCTTGAGCCACAATGGTTACGGTATGCTGTGTTATGACTATACGCTGAACGCTGACTGCTCTCAGGGGTTCATGGTGTTCAAAAGCGCTGGGCCTGCGCGTCGAATTGGCGTCCATGTTCTCGCCGTCGCCGCCTCGTCGCCGCCCGTCGTCTGGGCCTGTGCGCCGGTCTGGCGGCTATGTTCTCGCACCACATAGAGTGCACCACGCAGACTTCACCGAACTGGCTGTCCTTTTCTAAAAGGGCGCTAGGACCTACCACCCCCCCGCCGAAGGCGGGACTATCCCCCCCCTGGGGATGTGCAAATTACGTCTGTCTCTGCCCCATCACTCACTCGAACTATGAACTCATACCACCCCGGCCAAGCCGATATCGACACCCACGCCCACCCGCTGCAAACAACTCGATGCGCGCAAAACCCGTGCATTTTAACTCATCAATGTTGGTAAATCCCGGGCGACAAATGGGACGACATGCGCACGCGCGCGTTGTCGCGCGCGCGTGCCAAAAAAACTTTTCAACAACCGTGGATGTCGTGAGGATTTCAAACTCGAGCGCCCCGAAACCATGCCAACAAAAACGCACAGATTTGCACCATGATTAAAAACAGACGCGCGCGCGTTCTCATGTGATTTTCGTGAACCCTTCCGCATGCTCATCAAAGGCGACCGAACGGGCTTCTCGCGCGCGCGCATGTCGGAATCACTCGGGCGCCCTTGCGCGCGTGTTGGGGGGCACGCCCCCTGCCAAATCACACCATGTGGGCCACTCGCGCCAGTCGGCCGCGCGCGTTTGTCGAAATCCCTTCACACTTTTCATCGCCGACGCGTATACACAATCATCGTCATCGGCGTGGTCAACATCGGCGCCGTCATTGGCTTTGCCATCGTCGTCGTCGTCGTCGTCACCAATGCCGCTACTATCATCATCGTGTCTGCCGCTGTCGTCGTCGCTATGCTACCGCGCCCGCCCCCAGTCACCGACTCGCACTGAAATGCCCGCACGTCAGATCGGCTTGCGGGACGCGCTGGGACGTCCCCAGCGGTCAGCGCCACCGCGGCCGCGTCGGTCGCGCCAGACCAGCTGGCCGCTCTGCGTGCGAGCCTGCGCGCGCTGGCGTCCCCCCCCCGTGAGGCCTTGACACTTCACGGAGCGCGCCAGAGTCTGACCGTGTAGAATAGGGGGCCAACAAACCTACCTCGCTTATGACCACACGCGCTTCCAAGAGGTACCAAGCGATGCCACATTTCGGCCTGTACTGGTCAGGCCGCTTGACGAGGAGGCGCGTGGTATGACTTGGTTTTGCCTGGAAGCGAAAGCGGGGTAGGTAATTCACGCTCTGATGGGAGACCCCACTCACCGGATGCTTCTGCCGCAGTGTCGGGCGAGGAGGAGGAGGAGGAGGAGGAGGAGGAGGAGGAGGAGGAGGGGGAGGAGGAGGAGGAGGAGGAGGAGGAGGGGGAGGCGCCAACGGCTCCCCTCGAGGCTGCGCGGGCGGGCCAGCCGCCGTGTGCGCTTCGCGCGGGCGCCCGACGCCTGCTCGGCGCGTGGGCGCCGCTCGTTCGCCTGCGCATCCTCTGGGCTCCTCTAATCATCACTCGCTGCGCCTCCCTGCTTCGCCCTCTCCGTGCAGCCATCTTCGCATCAGCTCTGCGCTCTTCTGGTCCTCGCTGCACTTCCCTCACCCCTGCTCGTCTCGGGTGGGAGGGACGGGGGAGTGGCAGCGGGTCGGCCTACGCAGCTGGCTTCTGCAGCGCCTCGCGGCACCAGAGGCGCCAACGTATCGAATGACGAGCCCGAAACCAGCTGGATGCAGCAGATTTCGCCCCCCCCACCCCCCCCCGCTTTCCCTCCCCCCCTTTCGTCCCCTTTCCTCTGACCCGAGCGCTGACTCCCTCTGTCCGAACCGTCCCTTCGTGCGGAGGGCAGCCCCTCCTGGAGCTGGAGCCGGAGCTCTGAACCAAGACCTCCACCTCGTGACCCGGAGCGAGGGCGCCGAAGTGATCCTCCGAGTCCAGGACGGTGCTCGTCCTGGGGCGGCAGCAGCACGTGGGCTGGCACCCCGCCTGCGAGCAACAGCCTCGTCCCCCTCCCTCCCGCCCCCTTCCTCCTTCTCCCTCCTCCTCCTCTTCCTCCTCCTCCTCCTCTTCTTCCTCCTCCTCCTCCTCCTTGCTACAGCTGCTGCTGTTGCTGCTGCTGCTGCTGCTCCTCCTCCTCCTCCTCCTCCTCCTCCTCCTCCTCCTCCTCCCTGCTGCTGCTGCTGCTGCTGCTGCTGCTGCTGCTGCTGCTCCTCCTCCTCCTCCTCCTCCTCCTCCTCTCTCCTTTTCCTCCTTCTCCCTGCTCCCCCCGTTTGTCCTCCCCCTCCTCCCTGCTCGTCCTCCCTTCATATCCTCCTTCTTCTCCCTTCGCGCCACCTAATCACGAACTCCGCAGCGTGGCACTGAATGAACGGGGAGGAGGAGGAGGCCGAGGAGGAGGCCGAGGAGGAGGCGGAGGAGAAGCAGGAGCACAGCGAGAGTCTCCTCCTCCTCCTCCTCCTCCTCCTCCTCCTCCTCCGCCTCCTTCTTCTCCTCCGCCCAATCATCCCCACCTCTGCCGCGGGCTCATCCCTCACGTCTGCAGTTTTGCATCCAAGGCCTCCGACTGCGAGCGCCCGAGCTCGATCCAGCGCTCCCTGGGCCGTCCGAAGCGCCCTCCCAAGCGTGGTCCCGCGTCCGGCGCCAAAAGGTCGTGCCGTGTCGTGGCCGCCTCGCCCTCCGCCCTCCGTCCTCGTCCTCGTCGTGATCCTCCTCCTCTCTGGCTGGGCCATCGGGCACGTCGCCTGCACCTGGAGCAGAAACATCGGCCGGGCTCGCCTGGAGCAGGAGGAGGAGGAGGAGGGAGCAGGAGGGAAGAGAGAGACCCTGCGCAGGAAGTCGGGGGAAGGAGGGAGGGAAGGGAGAGGGAGTGGAGGAGAGAGGGAGGGCAAGGGAAGGGAGGGGAAGGAGGGAGGGACGGAGGGAGGGAGGGAGAGGGAGGGGAGTGAGGGAGGCAAGGGAGGAGGGAGGCGAGGAGCGGAGAGGAAGTGCGAGAGAGAGGACGATCTATTGGAGGGAGGGGTAGGGAGGGGAGGGAGGGGGGGAGGGAGGGCAGGGAGAGCCTGCAGGCGCCTCTTCCGAGCCCAGATCTATCTATCTATATATCTATATCTATCGATCTATCTATCTATATATCTATCTATATATCTATCTATCTATATATATGTATATCTATCTATCTATCTATCTATATATCTATCTATCTATCTATCTATCTACATCTATCTATCTATCTATCTATCTATCTATCTATATATCTATCTATCTATATATCTCTCTATTTTTATATATATATATATATATATATAGATATGCCCACAAGGGCTCGGTGCTGCTGGCCTTAAGTCGGGCCTCTCCCCCTATGCAGGGGGATTTTCGACGAAAAATATAGGATACCGTAAAAATAAGCAACAAATAATCCAAACATAGTCCAGGGACTATTGTTTTGAGTATGTTTGGACCTTTTTGGAGTATTTTGGGGTATTGTTAAATTTTCGTCGAAGATCCCCCTGTATGGGGGACACGCCCGACGTAATGCTGGCCCATGCTCGCCATCCCCCTCGTGTCGGACGAAACGGGGGGGTGGTCGAAGGCGGGGCTCGAACATCCGATCACGCAGCTGGTTTTTTTTTTCCGGCGCCCCCCTCTCGCCGGGGGCGCCAATGTATTGAGGACCGCGCCCGGCGGCGGGGCCGTAACTCAGCATCGCTCGGACGTCCATTCCCTGTGTTTTCTTCGGTTTCGTGCGTAGCTTGTTCGCCAAATGATCAAGGATGCTCCTCGATGGTCCTCGCCGAAGGAAAAATGCACACGTCCGAGCGATGCCAAGGTAACCCCGTCTTTCCCTTCCCCCCCCTTCGTCGGACCTGACCCCCCCCTTGCCCAAAGAGCGCGGTCCACAGATCCCTGCTGGGCACCCACTTCGGGTACGGGGTGCTCCTGTACGTGTCGTGCACCACTCTTTCGGCCACCAGCACATCGGTGTTGTCGTTGCGCTTCTGTGCGGCAGACCAGTTTTTTAAGCAAAAGAAACGCAAACACTCGGCTTCACACATGCCATGTCGGGCGAAGCTAGCTCACCATTCATGTGACATATGTGTTATACTCATGAACTCATGCCCGCACACGAACAGTCAGCATTGTATCTCAGAGTGGGGGTCGCTTGCCAATCCCTCGTCGCTTGGAGTCGCTCTGCTGAACGCCTCCCCGCGCGGCGTTCCCTCCCGCGTCAGGGCCAGCGCCCAGATTCTGCGAAGAGCGATGGCGGAGTGGAGGTGGGGAGCGGGAAGGGGATGGAGGAGGGGGGAGGGAAGGATGAGCGAGGACGCGGAGGGTGAAGTAGGACAGCCGTAGAGAGGGAAAATGGAGGGATGGGGGCGGAGAGAGCGAGAGAGAGAGAGAGAGTGTAACATATCGGTATGCATATAGAGAGAGAGAGAGAGAGAGAGACAGAGACAGAGACAGAGAAAGAGAGATAAAGAGAGGGGAGACAGAGAGAGAGAGAACAAGAGAGAGAGAGAGAGAAATACAGAGAGAGAGAGAGAGAGAGGAAGATAAATTAATAAACAAAGGAAGTTTGAGCGAGAATATGAGGCAAAGAGGAAGTGAGACAGAGAGAGATAGAGAGAGAGCGAGAGAAATAAAGAAAGAGAGAGAGAGAGAGAGAAAGAGAGAGAGGGGGAGAGAAAGAGAGAGAGAGAGATAACGAGTGAAACAAAACAGCAAACACTAGTCAGGAATGCAGGAATCGTGTAACATACACCTATAGTGTGAAAGAGAAAAATAGGAATGAGGGATCTATGTATATACATATATATAGAGAGAAAGAGAAACCACGATACCTATAGTCATACATACATATATATATACATACATGTATAGTTAGAAAGATATTTATATATATTGAGAGAGAGAGAAAGAGGGATGCATAACATCAAGAGAAAACGTTAATCATAGAGAGAGAGAGAGAGAGAAAGACTTGGAGACAGAGGGAAATAGATATACATGTATGTATGTATATATAGTTATATATAGAGAGAGACGGATAGAGCGAGAGAGAGAGAGAGAAAGAGAGACAGAGAGAGAGAGAGAGAGTGAATGAGAGGAAGGACCATGTAAAGTGTAAGAGAGGCAGAGAGCAAGAGAAATAGAGAGAGAGAGAGAGACAGAGAAAAAGTTAGAGAGAGAGATAACTAAACAACGAAAGAGGGGGAGACAGAGGGAGAAAGAAGGACAGAGAGAAAACGCCACCAAAACTTCGGACAGCAGGTCTGCCCAGGCCCCGAAGCTGCAGGCGCCCCGCAGGCCTTCCTCGCAAGGCGGGACGCACCACCTGCGAAACATATGGGTGGCGGGATGACCCCCCCCCGTCGCGGTGCGCAGGTGCCCCTCTCCATAACCGCCAGGCTTAGAGGCTTTATACGTTATAAATCGCATTGTCTAGTGGTCCTCTACAAGATTTGTTCAAGCAATCCCCTTGGGGTTGAAAATGGCCCTTGCTGAAAAAGGCAGCGGGCCGCGGAGATCCAACCGGCGCGCCCCCGTGGCCCGAGACTGCGAGAAATCCCGGATTCTAAACGCGCCTCGGCCTGCGCGCCTCGGAGAGCCCTGGGAAGCGATCGGCGCCGCGTCGGGGCAGCTCCCGCGGAGGGCCACTGAGAGCAGGCGACGGACAGCAGGTGCAAATGTTTCGCATAGCCCTCTGGTTGGGAGGAGTGCTAGGCACTGGAGCACTGGCGTGCCGAACGTTGAGTGTCGATCAATGCTTTCAGGTTGCCGCGAAGGGGCGCCCTCTGGGCCAGTGCGTTGTCGTCGCCACTCCCGCTGTCCGCGGCAGAATCGCTGGGCGCAGCGGGGGAGTCGGAGTCGTGCGACGGCGCGCCCTCCTCTCGCGCGGGTCGGCCGTCGGTGCCTGGCGGCCCGTGCGGGGGACTGCTGTGGGGAGTGCGGACATGGTCAGTGCTGGAATTCTCAGCAGTTCTGGCCCACTGGCTTTTGGCTCCACCACCGTCGTAGGCTTGCGTGCGGCTTTTCCAAGCCTTAGTGCGGTGAGCGTTGTTGGTAAGCGAATTGCGTCTCGACTGGGGAGCGGCGGCGGCAATGAAATCCACCAGCTGCAAGTCAGCCGGGATTTGCTCGCGGTCCCAAGCGCGAGGGAACTCGGAAATGCTGGTGGGTCAGAACCGCTCGGCGAGCACGTTCGCTGCCACCCAGGTGCCTTCGATGTTGTCCCATAGGGCGGGATGGTTAGCACTGTGGTCGTCCGCGTGCTGGCGGTGGGCAGCCAGGCCCGCGCTGACTGAATTACCTGAAGAGCATGGCCACATAATTTGCGACTCGGTCAGCGACCCCGTGCTTTGGGCTTGCCAGCGGGGCCGCGTAACCGCAACGAGAGATCACTTTGCCATGCCTGGCGGCAGACTTGTTCTGCTCCTCCGGCGGGTTTCTGGCGAGGAATTCATTGCGATTCCGTGCGCAAGTTGATTGGCAATATCATCGAGCTCATCCACGCCGTCGGTTGTGTCGGCCGCGTCCATTTGTGCACGGTGGGCTTTCTCGATGCAGTCAAGAAGGGCGTGTTGCTCATCGCTGTCACTGGCTGAATCGGCCAGTGGGTATGCTATGACCGCCCTTCGTATTCTCGCTGGTTGTCGGGTGGCTCGCAGGTTGAAAGAGACTAGCAGACCAAGGTGCTCTTTGGCGGGGAGATCGCGGAGCAGGACGAAGTTGGTCACCAGCTGTCTGCCGCTGGCGTTAGTGAGCACATAGCGATTCGGGTCCTCCTGGTCCCTGGTGCTCTTCGATCCCAATCAAGGTCTTGGCCGTAGGTGCGGGACCTTCCACCTGGGTATAATACGGCGACGCTCGACCACCCCTCGTTGCATATCTGGGTGAGAAAAGCAGAATGTTTGATGTCGCTTTGGGCGCCCACGCTGATGAAGTGCGGCGCATCCCCGACCCTGTTGGCGGCACCCAACACATGGTGGAAAGACGCGGTGTTGTCCGCCCCCGATTTGGCATACAGAGACGCCAGGAAGATGCACTCGGTTAGGCCATAGGGGCCATGCCTGCCCCTCCTACGACCCCAGGAGGCGCTCGAAGAGGGTATGGGGTAGTAGGTTTCATTCCATCGCGTGGTCGCGAGGAGGGCCAACACCGTCGGGTCGCCTTTGGTGGTGTCGACGAGAGCGCCTTGCACAGCAATGCCCCCCCCCCGTGCGTAGCCGCAGCAGATCTGACCATGTGGTCGATCCCTCCCCTCGTGGCCTTTTCGTTGGACGTAATCAACTTCGGGGTCCTGCACCTGGAAGGGTTTCCAAGCTCTGCTTTCTGGTGATCGGATCGGATGCTCCTGTCGAAGGTGCGCATACGGTCAACGGGGCGACGGTTTTTTTGGAGGGCCATGCTGGTAGCCCCCGTAGTGTTCTCGGAGGTCAGTGAACACGTTTCAGTTACAGGAGGGGCCCGACCACAAGAAACCTTCCACAAGAAACCAGACCCTGAGACTCCAGGACGTCCATTTACTTGTGGTGGGGGAACGTCACGATTTCCACCGCACAACCATCGACACCCAAGAAACCCAGGGCACCCTGGACCCTGGAAGCAAGCAGGATGCTTCTTGGCACGGGTCCCCACTGCAGCACCGAAGCTGGTGACATCGATGCGAACGGGATGGGCCAGCCGCGGGCCGTCCCTACCTCAGTGGAGCTCGGGGGCTCCGCAGAGGCGGGTTTGGCCTGGAGGGGCCCCCGGGGCGCTCGGTCTCGACCGCCCGCGCCCTGTGGGGCCCTTGAAGCTGCACCAAGGAGGGGGGCAGACAGACAGAAGCCATACGCCGGTGCAGCGCGCAGGCAAAAAGGGACTCCTCGGAGCCCGGCGAGACGAGGCAGAACTGTGCCAGCTGTCTCGCATGGAGAACGAACGCGTGGGGAACTGCAGGAGGGGGAACAGAACGAGGAGCACGATGAACAAATGATGCTTGCATGAGCGGTTGGAATTCCCACGCAGAGGTCCCTGGACCAATTAGCGGCGGCGGCCAGGCGGATGCGGAGGGGAGCGGCACGACGACGGCGGCAGCCCGCACGACGGCGGCGACGGCAGCGATAGGGAGACAGAGAGAACGATGATGGGAGGGGGGAAGGAGGGAGACTGCTGAGGGTGGAGGAGGAAAGCGGCAACGAGAGCGATGGGGGAGGAGGTAGAGGAGGAACAGGAGAAAGAGAACGAGGGGTGCGAAGAAGAGAGGAAGGATGGGTGAACGTAAAAAGGCGACGCCATTCTGCTACCAATGATGTTCCCGTTGCCCCAGCTGGTGCACGCGGACCTGCCGACGCGCATGCAGGCAAAGGCGAAAATTCTGCCTTCCCGTGACTGCCCTTCGCTTCCGTCCTGTCTTCGCACTGTCCCCATATACTGCAGCCCCTCGCCCCACTCCTTCGCCTCCTTCCTCACCTCCTTCTGCCTCCTTGCCCTCCTTCCCCCCTCCCCGCCGATATCTTCCCTCAAACTTCCCTCCTTCCCTTCCATCCTCCTCTGCCTCTCTTTTCTCTCTTGCTCCCCGCTTCAAGGCACGGGGTGCGCAGCCGCCTTTAGCTTGCCCTTCCTGGAAGCCCTGAGCCCGAACACGTGGTATCTCTTGGGAGGGCGATGTGTACTTCCGCCGGCGTGGCCGTCCTCGCTTTACCTCTGCCAGCCTTCGGCCGCCTTCCGCCAGGGCCGCCGGGGAAGCGATGCCACCTCCTCGATCCCTCGAAGGCCAAGCGCTTTCTGTGGCGCGTCACCTGTGCTGGTGGTTCAAAGCTGGGGTCCTGAGGGATGGGGTCCTAAAGACAGGAAGGGATCCAAGGGTGGATCCGCCACCGTGCCTCTGGGCACGGAGTGGGCGTCCTCAGGTCCTTTGCCTCATCCCTGGAGCCTCAGTCGTAGTCCTGAGGAGTCCTTAAGGCGCCTGGACCCAAAATTCCGAAATACGGCGGGACTTCCCGCGGTTCCCCTGGGTTCCTCCATGCCTCACGAGGGTCCCACGACGGGCGAAAAAGGCTCCAAGAGGCCGCCAAGACGGTCCAAGAAAGCCCCGAGTCACCGAGCGTCGTTTCAAGACGCTCAAGATGGCCCCCAGACGGCCCAAGAGGCCTCCAAGATGCCCAAGAGATCTCCAAGAGGCCTCCCAAGAGGGCCAATAAGCCCGAATATGTGACTTCCCACTGGTGTTTGAGAAGGTTTTCGACTTGCTCGCCTTTTCGGCTTCCCGACGCTCCCAGACGGCCCAAGAAACCCCAAAGACTTTCCCAAGAGGCCCCCAAGAGGGCCCCAAGACGGCCCAAGATGCGCCCAAGACTGCCCGAGAGTGCCCCAAGACGGCCCCAAAAGGAGCCCAAGGGAGGGAACACGAACTGAAAATCCGAGCCTTCCGCCCCAAGAGGCCCCCAGGAGGCCCCCAGGAGGCCCCAAGAGGCGCCCAGGAAGCCACAAGAGGCCCTCAAGAGGTCTCCAAGAGGCCCCAAGAGACCCCCAAGATTCCCAAAAGAGGCCCCAGAGCGGCCCCCCCAAGAAGCCCAAAACGGCCCCCAAGAGGCCTCCAAATTGCTTCCAAGAGGCCTCCCACGAGATCCCAACGAACATCCCCACAACTCAGGCACGGTCACGGTGGCGGGATGGGCCGAAGGCAATTCGATTTACACAATTTGAGGCACCTTGTTCTGAGGACTTGAACCACCGATTGTGAGGGGCAGCGCCAAATGGGAACTGGCTCATGGAGGGAAATATCGATCTGCAGTCGGCGATTCTGGCTCATGGAGGGGAACTGGCTCATGGAGGGGAACTGGCTCTGGCGATGAGCCCCCGATAGCAAATCTGCACCCTCCTGGGTGGGGTGGGCTATCAGGCCCTATCGGCGATGAATAGGCGATTGGGTGTCGACGCGTCCCCCCTGAGTCCATCCACGTCTCCAGTGGTTTTCAAACCACAACTCAGGCCTCCGGCGGCCGTTCGGGACGATCTCGGCACCCCTGGAACGCTCTCGGCGAGGCGCAGCTGCTGGAGAGCATCCCGAGGCTGGAAAACCGCCCATAACCGTGGGCCCTTGAACTTGGCGCGGGCGCGGCCACGCGACTTCAGAACCGCTGCTGGCGCAGCGCGGGTCGCGGCGGAGGCGATCGCGCAGAGGGCCCACAACCTCCAGTGCAGGTTCGCAGCCGATAAGCCCGGCGGCACTACAGCGTCAGCAACCAAGGAACGCGTCCTGGAAGAAATGGGTTCTGGATTTTTTTGCCGCTTTCAAAACCCTTGGGCTCTCAACGGGCTGCAGGACCGTCAAACCCATGGGGTCTGGGACACATTTCCCTCAGGACCCCTGTCCTTCATGGCGACAGCTGCTCCTTTGCTTAGCGTCGACGTCGGTGGCTTCAGGAATCAGGTCACGCGTGTCGCTTGCAGCCGAAAAAGATGCGCAAAAGCATGGGTGACGATGCGGTGCGGCGTGGGCCCCAAGAAGGCACAGTGCAAATAAACAGCGGATTCAGCGCAGGAGCGAGGACCAGCATACACGACACCAGCAGGACATCATTCACATACTAGTGTATGCTGCACAGTCTGACCATGATATCAACTGCCACATGATACGAGACGTTTAGCACATCTTTCAAATCCATACCCTCGCCGTGACTCTGCAGCGCTTACACAGGAATTCCTCCTCTCTACCCTCATCCTTTCATCCTCTAACCTTGTCGCAAGGGAAATTTCACTGGGTAGTGGGTAGTCCGTTACCTTCGTGGGCCTCTTGGTCTTTTCCTTGGCTAACCTTTTCCTTGGCTAACCTGTAACCCATGTTCACTGCTTGCTTGCGTAGCCGCTTTGGTGCAGCCTGTTCGGCTGTCATCCCAGCTCTTAGCTTGCTATTTCGCCTGGGGGCGTGGGTAGCTGTCTCCTGCTCAGCTGACTCAGAAGCCAAGTCGCCGCAGCGGTCACATGTGTATTCAGTTTTTGCCCAGGCTGGCCGCATCAGATGTATCCAATAACCTGGCAGTAAGTGGGGCGGCGGTGGGAATGGGAATCCTGTATGGGCTGATGCCACCAGCTCGCCGGTAACAGCTGGAAAGGGGCGTCGCCTTGAATCCCAAAAGCTTTCGGAACAGCAGGAGGCAGGAGGCAAGAGCAAGTAGAAGGGAGGAAGGCGCAAAGAGGGAGGTGGGACGAGGGAGGGGGATGGGGAAGACGGACAAGAAACGAGGGATACGGAGAAACGCGAGAAAGTACAGGCAAATGATGGTACCAGTGCATATCATATGATGCACATCGGTGTGTAAAAAAGCAGCAACCTGGCGGCTTCGCGCGACCGCACGCGTGCAACATGCACGCACCAGACATACATGTGCAGCTCGATGTTCCTGAGCCCTCAGGGCGCTAAGCATTGGGGTCGCAAGCTTCTGATCAATCGAACCTCGTGCGCTGTATCGGATGCCAGCTGTCGGCTGCGTTATGCTGTTTATGTAGGACACTTTTTGGGAACGGATGGGCGCTGGCAAGACGAGTGCACTTGTTGCTGATTTCCAGATCTCGGTCGCAAATGTGTGTGATGGAACCCCGATGCTTAGTTCCTTCCACTTCTTACCAAGTGTGTCTTTGCGCGGTAGCGTTTGCAATTTTTGAGCAAACCAACCGTTGCTGTGTGCATGAGAAGAGATAGGGACTTGCCACCGTGTCTTGAACATGTGCTGAGGGCCCCAAAGGTTCATATCGGAACGCCCGATGGTTCGGGCACTTGTCAGAAAACGCGTTCTTCAATGCTGCGACGGCACCGCCGAATTTCGGACACCTTTGCGCGTGGGCCAAGCGCCTCATGCCAGCGTTGAAGTAGCGCCGACCGCGCAAGCGCCGAAACCAAGTAGCCTGCCGCAAGACCCAACCATATGCAGCAGCGAGTACCGCGAGAGAGGTGAGACGGAGGAGGGGGGGCCCGCGGTGCCCCGAGCTCCGTGCGCGGCCGTCTTGTCTCCATTTGATTCCCAGCTCATTCTCCTTTCTTCATGTTTCCGTTGCGCGTGGCATTCTGGGCTTCTTGCTTTGGCCTGAGCCCCGTGTGTGGCCGTGCTGTCTCCACCTTCTTCCCGTCTCAGTCTCCTCTCTCCCTGTTTCCGCAGCGTGCTGCCGTCCTAACCACCAAGCCCGCGGTGGCCCAAGCCCCATGCGGAGGTTTTGTCCAAATTTTCTTCCCAGCTCATTATCATCTCTCTCTGTTTCTGTTGTGCGTTGCATGATGTTTGTCCTTTTTGTGTTTCCCTCTCTCTCTCTGTCTCTCCTCTCACCCTGTCCCTTTTCCACCTCATGTTGGACTCTTTACTGGCCAGGCCCACGGTGGCCTAAGCCCCGTGCGCGGCCGTGTTGTCTCCTTTGTCTTCCCAGCTCACATCTTTCTCTTCCTTCCGTCGTTCTTTGGGGCCACGAATTGTGCGAGTGGTGTGCCAAGATTGGCGTCGGGCGCATGCGGACCCTGCCACTCAGGACGTCGGTGGAGCTCCCTATGGGGCCACTAAACGTGTGAGGGGTGTGCCACATTGGGCGTCGGGCGCATCCGAACCCTGCCACTGGGGCCTTCGGTGGAGCTCCCTATGGGGCCACGAACCTTGTGAGGGATGTGCCCAAATAAGCGTCGGGCGCATGCGAACCCTGCCACTGGGGCCTTCGGTGAAGCTCCCTATGGGGCCACGAACCGTATGAGGGTTGCGCCAAAATCTAGCGGCGGTGCCATGCGGACACTCCCACTGGGGCCTTCGGCGGAACTCGCAATGGGGCCACGAACCGTGTGGAAAGTGCGCCAAAATCAAGCGGCGGTGCCATGCGGACCCTTTCACTGAGGCCTTGGGTGGAGCTCCCAATGTGGCCTCGCACCGAGTAACGGGTGTGCTAAAATCAAGCGGAGGTGCCATGCGGACCCTCCCACAGGGGCCTCTGGTGGAGCTCCCTATTGGGCCACGAACCGTGTGAGGGGTGTGCCAAATGAAACGGCGGTGCCATGCGGACCCTCCCACTGGGGCCGTCGGTGGAGCTCCCTATGGGGCCGCGAACCGTATGAGGGGTGCGCCAAAATCAAGCGGCGGTGCCATGCGGGCCCTCCCACTGGGGCCGTCGGTGGAGCTCCCCACTGGACCCGCGAAGCGTGTTAGGGATACGCCAAAATCAAGCGGCGGTGCCATGCGGACCCTCACACTGGGGCCCTCGGTGGAGCTCCCTATGGCGCCACGAACCGTGGGGTGCGCCAAAATGGGGCGGTGGTGCCATGCGGAGCCTCCCACTGGGGCCTTCGGTGGAGCTCCTTATGAGGCCACGAACCGTGTGAGGGGTGTGCCGATATTGGTGCGGTAATGGCGGCGACGATGATGACGATGATGGTGATGATGACAGCGATGCTGGTGGTGATGATGATGACGATAAGGACATGCGGAGCGCAGAGGGCAGAGGCAGGGATGGGAGGAGGGAGGAGGAGAGGAGAACGCGGGGCGCTGTCTCTTCAAAACGAGAACCCAACACCACAGGATGGTTGGGAAGATACTTAGATTTATGTTTGACGAGTCTTGTAGGGTGGTGGTGGCATGTACGGCTGTCAGACGTCGCAGCCCAGACAGAAGGCGAGGAGGCGGACGAGGACGATAACGAGTAGGAAGGGGAGGGGGAGGAGAAGAGCAAGAGAGAGGACGATGGCGACGACGGCTGACGACAAGGACACCGACAAGGACACCAGGATGGACGCGGGCGAGGACGACGAGGACATCGAAAACGACGAGGCTACCAGGACGACGAGCAGAGGACGGGGAGCACCGACCACGACCAGACCGATAGGACGAGCGCGCGTTGCGCGCCCTCCCCCGCGCGCGGGGGCGACCAGCTGTCCAACTGCAGCCGCTTGCGCGCCCGGCGGCGGGTCCGCGGGCGCGCCCTCTGCGCGGACGCCCGGGCGCACCGCCGCCGCTGCTGTGGCCCAGGCGCACCGCCGCCGCCGCTGCAGCCGCCGGCCGCGGCTCCGCCCTCGTCGCCGTCGCCGTCGCCGTCGCCGCCGTCGCCGCCGCCAGAGAGCCCAGGCGCACCGCCGCCGTGGCCGTCGCTTCCCGGGCCGGCAGGGGGCTCAAGGTGGCTCGAGAGGGTGGCCGCAGCTGGCCCGAGGTGGACTCCGAGATGGACTCCGAGCTGGCGCAGAGTGGTCTAAGGTGGCCTCAGGCATGCCTCTCAGGCGACCCAAGGGCCGCCGCGAGACGGCCCAACCGTGCCGTCTTGGGGCCCAATGCCAATGTCCATCCGAGCCCGACCACCTCAAAGGGCCCGGCTCCGACGCTTGTCGCTGTCGGACTCGTCGAGCAGTTCTCCGCCGGGTTGCCTTTTGTCGTTGTCGGGCGCCTTCGCAATCGGCGGCATCCACTGGCGTCATGGTCGTCACCGTCTTCGTCGCCGTCGTCTGGTGTCTTCTTCGTCGTCGGGCGGAGACAGGACCGGGCCCCAAGACGGCCCAAGCCAGCGACAAGGAAGGCGCCTCACGGCCCAAGACGCGATTTGAGACGTCTCAAGAGGCCCCCTAGAGGGTCCAGAGGGGCTCCAGGAGTCCGCCAAGAAGGCATGGGCCGCCGAAATAGCCCAGTGCGCCTGGAAGAAGCCCCAAGATGCCCCGATGGTGGCCCGGCATCGGGGACTCAACTTTCTGCCGGGCCGGGCGTGCGACGGAGGCTTCCCAGACGGTCCGCGATTGGCGAGCGGCCAGACCTCGGCCGCGCGGCTGGGACGGAGCATGCGCAGCCGTGGTTCAGGCGGAGGTTTGGGAAACAGCCGGCGCGGCACGAGAGGGATATATTTGCGGAAAACAAGCGAGACTAGGCGAGAGCTTCGAACCCATCAGCCCAGGAACGGGTCTCGCCGCACAGCAGGCCATGCCCGACTGGGCGCTCCACACAACGGGCTGCCTGCATGTCCTGGGTGGCTCCTGAACCAAGCTCAGCTGAGTCCCCAGCTGTACATTTGCATCGGAGGGGGCATTACCTACTAGAGGCAATTTGAGGACAAACGACGTGCAGGCGACGATGTTCCCCTTATCCCATCATTTCGGTTGCTGATGCCCATCATCGAGGCATGCTTCGCATAACTCGGATAGCGGAACATCCCTGAGATTTGGCAATAACACCCAGCACGAAACTCAGAGAAACAACGACACATTGTCCTGGCGAGAGACCCAACCACCTCATGCAGTTGCGAGGACCGTCGTTGTGAGTATCGCCTCCGGTGGAGCTCAGCACGAGGCCGCGAAACGAGTGAGGGGTGTGCCGAAATGGGCAGGGCGGCCGCCTGTGGACACCGCCACTGGGGCACCCGGTGGAGCTCCGACGAGGCCACGGCACGTGTGGGGAGCGTGCCGCAACGGGCGGGACGGCCGCGCGTGAACACCGCCAGGCTGGGGCTTTCCATGGAGCCCCCTTTGGGGCCACGGAGCGAATGAGGGGGGTGCTGGCCATCGCTCGGACGTCCATTCCCTGTGTTTTTGTTCGGTTTCGTGCGTGGGTTTTTCGCCAGATGATCAAGGATGCTCCTCGATGGTCCTCGCCGGAAGAGAAATGCACACGTCCGAGCGATGCCAAGGGTGGTGACATTGGTTTGGCGGTCGCATGTGGACATGGCCGCCGGGGCCTCTGGCCACGAAGCTCGTCAGGGGTGTGCCGAAGTGGGGAGGGCGGCCGCATGTGGACGTGGCCCCTGGGGCCTTCGGAAGAGACGGAAGAGCTCCACATGGGGCCGCGGAGCGCGTCAGAGGGGAAGAGGAGGGGGAGGAGGAGACAGGGGGTACCCACCACGAGAGGAAACGACCTGCCGACGCCAGCTCCGAAACGATGGGCCCCGGATCCTGCCCAACCCTTCCCCATTATCCCACGCGAATGCCGCGCAACTGGTCCGCAGAAGGTCTGCGCGAAACGCGTTCAAAATCTGGTCATGTACCTCTTTCGGGCTGAGTGCTGTTCACCTGCATCTATGCTTGAGAGCGGTCCCGGGGTTCTCCCTGACAAGTTTGTTTCGAGCTGCGTCCAGCCGTTAAAGCGAGAAGGCGCTCCGATGGCCACGGGTGCAAACGCAGCAACGGTTCGATTCGCGACCGTTGGCGCTGCGCGAGCGGCCGCCGCCCTCCTGACCACGGCTGCGCGCGCAGCCGACAATGCTGGCAGCATTGCTCCTCCGGGTCGGCTGCGAGGGCGGGTATTGCCAAGTTTACCGTGGCAGCATCAAGACTGGACGAGAGAGGGCGGGCATTCGGCATTCGGCATGCCCCCCCCCCCAGGTGCCCCTGCTCCTCCTGCCTCTCCTGCTCATCCTCTTTCCCCAAATCGTCGTCCTTCCTTTTTCACCTCTTCCTCTGGCACCAAATCCCTCTTCGATAATTCTAATCTCCCTGCTCATCCATCCGTCGTACTCCGCCAGCAGTTGGCTTCGAAATTGCCATGTCCTTCTCGTCCTCGACCTCCTCCGCCAGGATCCTTCCCTTTCTAGGTCGGTCGCGGAGAGTACAAAGCCCTTGATGATCCCCCGGATCGATCGATGGATACCCTCGTCCTGCGGAAATTGCGGAAGATAGCACCTGGCAGGGGACGAGGCGAGAAGAAGGGACGGACGAATGCAGGGAATGCGATGATATATATATTTAGATGGAGTGGGCGAAGAGGAGGGGGAGGAGAAGGAGGAGGAGGAGGAGGAGAAGGATAGGGGAGCGAAGGAGGAGGGTGGGGAGATTGAAGACGATGGGGAGAAGAAAGGAGGGGAAGGGGGAGGAGGAGGAGCATGAGGGTGGGGGAGAACGGGAAGGACAAGGAGGATGAAGGGGACGTAGAGGAGAACAGAGAAGATGACGACAGGCATCATGCGGCATGCGACAGCAGCAGCAGCAGCAACAGCAACAGCAGCAGCAGAAGACACATCACTAGCTGGGCCTGGCCACGCCCGACGATACGGGATGAGTCGAACGCACGATACGGGCCAGGCCCGGAAGGGCATCTCCTCCTCCTTTTCGTCCTCTCCGTCCTCCTCCTCCTCCTCCTCCTCCTCCTCCTCCTCCTCCTCCTCCTCTTCCTCTTCCTAGCATCTGGATGACTCAAGCCACTTGGGCGCAAGCATTGCCTGGGCCAAGGCGTCCGCCTCCTACGTGGTGTTTGTGGGGCACCAACGCCCGCAGTCTCTCTGTACATCCGTTTTGCGTCCATCACTTTGCACCGAGGTGATTGTGTCTTGCTGGTTGGCTACAGGGACGCGTCATACAACATCATGACCAACGGGAAGAGGAACGGCAATCTGACGAAGGACGGCACGGCCTCAGCCGCATCCTCTAACTACTGACCCGTGGACGAAGAGCGGCCATTGCGGTCGCTGCGAACGGAATCAGGTCCTGGAGCTCAACAGCTCTGTGCGCGGCGGCTGCAACAACACGGTCATATTGTGCACGCCGCCCGCCACCAAGCAGCCGGGCGTGATCAGTAACAAGCTAGCCGGGGCCCCTCCTCGGGGAGGAACCGCTACGCCCGTCGCCACGCTCGAGGCAACGCTGAAGGTGGTCCAGGATCCGGCAGCGAAGCTCGCGATGGAGCAGCACATGGCGCTGGCGAAGCAGAAGGCTGCGGCAGCCCACCCGTCGCTGTCGGCGGAGGAGGCGGTGCGCCGCGCGGCACGCGCGTGGCGCGACGCCTCAGTCAAGTCCAGGCAGGCCACGAAGCAGGCGCAGCATTGCGGGGACAACTTGCGGCGCGCCAAAGAGAAAGAGGAGGAGGAGGCAGCGAGGGCGACTCCGTCGCCGAGCTCAGAAGGAAGACGGCGGCTGCAGCGCCGGCCAGGGAGGCGGGGATCGCGCCCCAGCCGCCCACGGACGGCGCCAGGTCGTGGACGGCGGCGGCGGCGGGCAACGCGCCGCACATCGACCTCACCTGGGGCGTTAAGTTCTTCGGGCAGGTCGACGACCTCGACTGCGGGGGCCGAGCTCGAACGAATCGAGCAGGATCTCCCTGCCGCCAAGGACAGCGCAACGGCCGCGGCGGAGCAGGGCGGCACGCGGAACGCGCTGCTGCAGGAGCTGCGCAAGAAGCTCACCGAGCGCATCGCCAAAGAGCGCGGGGTGGACCGGGAGAACGCCTACGGCGGGAACGGGGCGTCCGCCGAAGGGGGCGCCCCAGGGCAGCCGCTGCTGGAGCCGTCGCTGCGGGCGCGGAGGCCGCGGCGCTGCCGGCGCCGGCGGCGGCGGCGGGCGTGCCCTGCACGGAGCAGATCACAGCGGAGATGGCGCGCGTTCGCGGGGCGGCGGCCGCGGGCTTGGGCGGGGGCCGCTGGCGCGGGCGGGCAGATATCCAGCTCCACCGCTCCCCGAGATCCCGGGAGTAGGAGGAGGAGGAGGAGGAGGAGGAGGAGGAGGAGGAGGAGGAGGAGGAGGAGGAGGAGGGGGAGCAGCAGGAGGAGGCATCCCTGGACTCCGACATCGGCTTCCAGGGGCCCCGGATGGCAAAACGATGGCCCTTGCTATCTCTTCTGGCCGCTGGGTGCCTGGGCCCCTCCGTTCATCGTCACTCCCTCCCTCCGTCGACCCGCCTCCACAAGAGGCCCCCCAGAGGCACCCAAGTCGCCCCAAGAGGCCTCGGCGAGAAGGCCGAAATGATTTATGCTCTTGGGGGCGGGGGACCCTAAGTAAGGAGCCCCCTTCCTTTGATCGATCTCTCCCAAGATGGTCCAAGGGCCCCTCCCTTCATCCTCCCCACTCTGACCGACGCCCCGCGACGTGGGCTCCGAATGAGTAACGCCGAAGCTCGCCGCAGGCGCCACTTTCGAAGAACTCACGCCATGGGCTGCGGTCGGACTCCATCTGAGCACTGTCTGGGGGACAGGCCGCACCTGACTCCTGGAGGTCCAGGTGGGCGGGCAACGCTTCCCTGTTATTGATCATCGGCACGGCCCACGTGACCAAAACACGTCTCCTGGCTTTTGGCCTCAGCAGTCCCACTTAGGACAATTAATTGCACGAGCTGGCCCACACACCATGTAGGCCAGCCCGCACTTCTTCAAGGGAGGAAAAAACCACTCCGACCCCAATCATCCCACCAGCCCTCTGGGCGTACTAGGTGGTTTAGGGACTTTCCTCTTCAGAGCCCCTTCTTCCCCTTCGAGGAGGGGTTTACCCCTCCCCCCTACCCCCTCCCCTGGACCTGGACGGGGGGGCGGCGGGCGGTCAGAGCGTCCAAGATGGCCCAAGACGGCTCCAAGAGGGCCTCGGAGAGCCCAAGATGATATCCAAGATGCCTCAGGATAGCCTAAGATGCCTCAAGATGAGTCCGAAGATGCTCCAAGAGGCCCCAAGACCGCCCCAAGACGGCTCCAAGATGCCTCCGAGACATCCAAGGAGGCCCCCAAGAGGCCAAAGTCTTTCAAACACCTAAGGACAACCAATGATTTTTCCATCATCGCCCGTTCGCTCTCGATAGCCTTCCGAGGCCTCAAGATGGTTCCACGATGGCTCAAGAGGGCCCCAAGAGAGGCCCAAGAGAGCCCCAAGACGTCCCCAAGAGCGCCCAAGAGCGCTACAAGAGCGCTCTACGAGGCGATGCTGGGGGCTCCCGAGGGGCAACGCGAATTGCGACCATCCCCTTCTTGGATCGATGTCCTCCAAGATGGCCCCAAGAGCGCCTCGAAAGCTCCCAAGAGCGCTCCGAGAGGGCCTCAAGGGGGCCCCAAAGAGGCGCCAAAGAGGCCCCAAGCGGCGCCCTAGAGGCTCCCGAGAGACCCCCAAGAGGCCCCAAGAGGCTCCCCGAGGTACGCAAGAGGCCCTCGGGACCGCCAAGAGGCCCCCAAGACTGCCCAAGAGGCTCCCAAGCTCGCCATTGTCCTCCTCCCTCCTCCTCCTCCTCCTCCTCCTCCTCGTCTTCTTCTTCTTCTTCTTTTCTTTTTCTTCTCCTCCTCCTCCTCCTCCTCCTCCTCCTCCTCTTCCTCCTTCTCATCCTCCTCCCCATCGTTCGCCACTTTCTCCTCCTCCCCCTCCCTCATCCCCCTCCCCCACATCCTTCTCGCAAACTCCCCGGCCGTCCCCCTCTTCGCTCCCGCATTTCCCTGATCACTTCAATTCGCCTCGACATCGTTTCTGGATGGGCTGGTGGGGATACTTTTTGTCGCAGCCGCCAGCGAAAGCGCAGGCGGCGTCAAACGGAACGGGCTGGCCGGGCGCGAACCTACTTGCCTAACGCGCCAGCAAACAGAGGCCCAGGCGGCACCTCAGATCACCAGAAGCGGGAGGTGGTGCGGGCTGCAGCTGCCATGAACCAGGTCCAGGTGCGAGCACATGCAAAGTAGCCAACCGAAGTTGGGGCGCAGCCAAAAAGGCGCGGGAGCGATACCAGGATGAAGCCAGGAGCGCCATCATGAAGGACCGCAGATACCAGCAAGGCCAGGAGAAACTCACTGACCAGGAACCTGGTGCATGGAAATGGCACTGGTGGGGATACTTTTTTGGTCGCGGGCGGACGCGGTCACGCAGTCGCCGAAGGGGAGGTCCGGGGCACGGTCCTGCCTAATTGGCTACGCGCGAGCCTAGAGGCTGGTGGGGATACGCGAAGCGTCTAGAATTGGCGTTCATTAAACGGCCCTGGGCGTTTGCTACCTAGACAGCCCTGTCCTGTTCGGTTCCTTCCTTGGGTGCGTTTACTGAACGGCTTCGCTTGTCGGGGTGCTTCTTATGAGACCAGACTTTCTGCTATCTACTTTTGCTCAGGACAACAGCCCAGAGCGATCTGCCACAGCCGCCACAAGGGCATATGCTGAGTCCGACGCCGCCCTCTGACCCAAGACTTCTGACGCCATGCTCTTTTCTAAGACGTGCCCCCGCCCCACCCCACAAACTTCTCCACCTCATCTCTTGCCCCGCTTTATCGCCTGGCACCAGCTCTGATGGCGCCTGTGGCCGAAGAGAGCTGTCAGAGGCCCACACCGCCCCCAAACAACCATGGTCGTGCTGCTGCTGCTGCTGCTGCTGCTGCTGCTGCTGCTGCTGCTGCTGCATGACGCCACGAGGTCCACAGAGGTTCCGTCTGAGGCTTCCAGCCCAGCTCCATCTATCGTATCCCCTCCTGGCCTTCTTTCTCCCTCCTCCGCTGCCTCGCAAAGCGCGTCCACGGAAGAACAGAAGCCCGGGGAATCCGCCCCGTGAGGGGCTCCCATGCGAGGCGACGCCTCCCTGCTGGGAGGACGCTGACTGCACACCGGCACCGGTCCTGGCAGGGCCCTGGATAGGTGCACGTGCCCTCCTGGCCAGTTCGGGAGGGCGTTTACACCGCTCCTGGGACCAGAACGAGCCCGCCCAGGGATCGGCTACACGCAAGAGTGGCACAAGGCAAGAGTGACCTCTAGCGCGTGGCTTCAGGATGCCACGGGGAGAGGGGGCCCAACCAACCCCGAGCGCGCAAGGCGCTGCTGCCGCATCGCGTTCAGCGGTCGGGGGATTTTCCAGTGGGCCCGCACGAAATGGGGACACAAACAGGTACGGTCGCCGCTGAGTGCTCCCCAGAACTCTCCTGGGGCGCGAATCCAGCCGTGAAGGAGAGGCAAGGGCAGCGGCCTCGGCAACTCGTGCCGCTCTGACCAGAGGCGACTCCAGCGAAAGGGCCACTCCTCCTCCTCCTCCTCCTCCTCCTTCTCCTCCTCCTCCTCCTCCTCCTCCTCCGCCACCTCCTCCTCCTCCTCCTCCTCCTCCTCCTCCTCCTCCTCCTCCTCCTCCTCTTTGCACGCCCGAAACGAATGCGGGAAAAAAGTGCACGCACGATGCCCAACAACGCGTGTCGTTCAACACCGACAGCGGCCGCTGTCGGGCAGGCGGCCCTCTGTCTCAAACGGGCAATGGCCCGCGGCGGCACCGACAACACACCCAGCTCAAGTGAACAAGAGCTGCTGTCGGTCGTCATGCCCATTCTTCGGCGGCGCGCCGGGGGGGGAGTGAGAAAGCTAAGGTCTTCTCAGAAGGCTAGGAAGCCCCATGCCTCCTGAACAGTTTTTTTTCTGAGCCTTCCCCGAAGACAAGGGAAACCTCTCAGAGGGCGCGAGGGCTTCTGAGGAGCTTCTCCGCCCTCTGAGAAAGCCTTCCCCTTCTCACTTCTCCCCCTCGCCCGCTGCCGAATTCTTTCCGCACCCATTCCGGTGTGACCTGGCGTCGGTGTCCGAGAGGGGGCAACGCGCCCTGCCGGTGCTGCTCCTCTTCCCCCTGCCGCTGCTGCTGCTCGCCCTGCTCCCACGTGTGCACTTGAGGAGCACGTGTACACTTGAGGAGGAGGAGGAAGAAGAGGAGGAGGAGGAGGAGGAGGAGGAGGAGGAGGAGAAGGACCACAATTTTCGGACACCGACGCTGTGCCCGCCCTGGGGAAGCCAGAAGGTACCGATGCCGCCACTCCCCGAACCTCTCCTGGGGCGCGTTCCGACCAGGCTTTCGAGGCGAATGCCAGCGCTGGCGACGAGGGCCTCCCCGAAGGCCGGATAGAAAGGGGAACGCGGGCGAAGCTGTAGAGGTATGGGTACCTTTTCTAAAAGAAGGCAAAAAACGCCATAAGCATAAAGTTCTGGCGCTCCGCGCGGATTCCTTGGATCTGCGCTGGACCCCCCCTCCCTGGCGCGGTGAGAACGCGCCAGGGGCGGCGGCGCCGAAGGCGCCGCCGGGGGGGCCCAGCGCGGATAGCCAAGACATCCGCGCGGAGCGCCACAAGTTTGTGTGCTCATGGGCGTTTTTTGTTCCTCTGCGATCCTCCCCTCCCCTGAACGCCGGGCCCGCCCTTATCCTCGCCCGCGCCCGCGCTCCTCCCAGCAGCGGCCACGGCTGCCTCCGCGCCCCCGCGCCCCGCGGCGGCGCCGAGCGCAGCAGCGGCGCCGGCGGGGGCCGGCCGCGCGGGGCGCCCGCCTCGGCGGCCGCAGGGAGGCGTGGGCGGGGCTCTCGGCCCGTGGGCGTCCGGGGCGGCACCAACACTCGGAGGGTGCGACGCCGTCGTTTTCGTCGTCGTCGTCCTCCTCCTCCAACTCCTCCAGCTCCTCCAACTCCTCCTCGTCCTCCTCCTCCTCCTCGCCTTTCTCCTCCTCGCCTTTCTCCTCCTCGCCTTTCTCCTCCTCCTCCTCGTCCTCCTCCTCCTCCTCCTCCTCCTCCTCCTCCTCCTCCTCCTCCTCCTCCCCCTCCCTCGTCCTCGTCGTCGGTCGTCGTCGGTCGTCGATCGTCGATCGTCGATCGTCGTTGTCGTCGGTCGTCGTCGGTCGTCGTCGTCGTCGGTCGTCGTCGGTCGTCGTCGGTCGTCGATCGTCGATCGTCGTCGTCGTCGGTCGTCGTCGATCGTTGTCGTCGTCGGTCGGCGTCGTCGTCGGTCGTCGTCGGTCGTCGTCGTCGTCGGTCGTCGTCGGTCGTCGTCGCTGATCGTCGTCGTCGTCGTCGGTCGTCGTCGGTCGTCGATCGTTGATCGTCGTCGTCGTCGGTCGTCGTCGTCGTCGTCGTCGTCGATCGTCGATCGTCGTCGTCGTCGTCGGTCGTCGTTCGTCGTCGGTCGTCGTCGGTCGTCGGTCGTCGTCGTCGTCGTCGTCGTCGTCGGTCGTCGTCGGTGATCGTCGGTCGGTCGTCGTCGGTCGTCGTCGGTCGTCGGTCGTCATCGGTCGTCGTCGTCGTCGTCGGTCGTCGTCGGTCGTCGATGGTCGGTCGTCGTCGTCGGTCGTCGTCGGTCGTCGGTCGTCGATCGTCGTCGGTCGTCGTCGATCGTCGTCGTCGTCGGTCGTCGTCGTCGTCGGTCGTCGTCGTCGTCGTCGGTCGTCGTCGTCGACGGTCGTCGTCGGTCGTCGTCGTCGTCGGTCGTCGTCGGTCGTCGTCGTCGTCGGTCGTCGTCGGTCGTCGACGGTCGGTCGTCGGTCGTCGTCGTCGTCGCCGATCGTCGTCGTCGCCGATCGTCGTCGTCGTCGGTCGTCGTCGGCGACGCCCATCGAAGACTGACAGCAGCATCGGAGGCCCACTCGTGGGGCGGCGCCGTGCCGACCGGAGGGGCGCGGTGCTGAGGGTGCTGAGCGATCAGTCTCGGTGGAGACGGCGACGGCGACGGGCGGTTTTTACCTAACAGCTTTTGCTGATAGGTTTCTAGTGGGATCAAAAGAGAGGCATCATGACGCCCCAAGGGGGTCTGGGCGGGATCCGGACAAGGAGCCGGACAAAAGTGCAGCCCCAGGAATCCCTGGGAATCCTTAGGAATTCTTCCGAATCCATTCCCAGAACACCATTCCCAGGCCACATTTTGAATGCCTGGAGCCAACTGTAGGCCACTTCGTGTTCTTCGTGTTCCCAGAACACCATTTCCAGGCCACATTTTGAATGCCCCGAGCCAGCTGTAGGCCACTTTGTAATCTTCGTGTTCCCAGAACACCATTCCTGTACCATATTTTGATTGTCCGGAGCCAACTGTGGGCCACTTCGTGATCTTCGTGTTCCCAGAACACCAGTCCTGTGCCATATTTTGAATGCCAGAGCTGAGGCAGGCTGAGGCCGAGGCAGGCTGAGGCCGAGGCTGTGGCTGAGGCTGAGGCTGAGGCACGCCGAGGCAGGCTGAGGCTGAGGCTGAGGCAGGCTGAGGCCGAGGCAGGCTGAGGCTGAGGCTGACGCAGGCTGAGGCCGAGGCAGGCTGAAGTTGAGGCTGAGGCTGAGGCTGAGGCCGAGGCAAGCTGAGACTGAGGCTGGGGTAGGCTGAGGCTGAGGCTGAGGCTGATGCAGGCTGAGGCTGAGAGGCTGACGCTTAGGCTGAGGCAGGCTGAGGCTGAGGCTGAGGCCGAGGCAGGCTGAGGCTGAGGCTGAGGCAAGCCGAGGCAGGCTGAGGCTCAGGCTGAGGCTCAGGCAGGCTGAGGCTGAGGCTGAGGCTGAGGCTGTGACTCAGGCTGAGGCAAGCTGCGGCTGAGGCAGGCTGAGGCTGAGGCCGAGGCAGGCTGAGGCTGAGGCAGGCTGAGGCTGAGGCTGAGGCAGGCTGAGGCTGAGGCCGAGGCCGAGGCAGGCTGAGGTTAGGCCGAGGCAAGCCGAGGCATGCTGAGGCTGATGCTGAGGCAGGCTGAGGCTGAGACAGAGGCTGACTGAGGCTGAGGCTGAGGCAGGCTGGCTGAGGCTGAGGCTGAGGCAGGCTGAGGCTGAGAGGCTGAAGGGCTGAGGCTGAGGCTGAAGCAGGCTGAGGCTGCAGGCTGAGGCTGAGGCTGAGGCAGGCTGAGGCTGAGGCAGGCTGAGCTGAGGCTGAGGCTCTGCAGGCTGAGGCTGAGGCTGAGGCCGAGGCTGAGGCAGACTGAGGCTGAGGCTGAAGCAGGCTGAGGCTGAGGCTGAGGCAGGCTGAGGCTGAGGCTGAGGCAGGCTGATGCTGAGGCAGGCTGAGGCTGAGGCTGAGGCTGAGGCTGAGGCTGAGGCAGGCTGAGGCTGAGGCTGAGGCTGAGGAGGCTGAAGGCAGGCTGAGGCTGAGGCTGAAGCTGAGGCAGGCTGAGGCTGAGGCTGAGGCGGCTGAGGCTGAGGCAAGCTGCGGCTGAGGCAGGCTGAGGCTGAGGCTGAGGCTGAGGCTGAGGCAGGCTGAGGCTGAGGCTGAGGCAGGCTGAGGCTGAGGCTGAGGCCGAGGCAGGCTGAGGCTGAGGCCGAGGCAAGCCGACGCAGGCTGAGGCTGAGGCTGAGGCTGATGCTGAGGCAGGCTGAGGCTGAGACTGGCTGAGGCTGAGGCTGAGGCAGGCTGAGGCTGAGGCCGAGGCAGGCGAATCCTTCGGAATCCTTAGGATTCCCTAGGAATCCTCAGGAATCCTTAGAAATCCATAGGAATCAGGATTCCTAAGGATTCCTAAGGTTTCCTATGGATTTCTAAGGATGCCTAAGGATGCCCTAGGAAATCCTCGGAAGCCTTAGGATTACATTGGGTCTTCAGGCCGCTGCCACTGCGACTGTCATTGCGAATGCGACTGCGATTGCGAGAACAGCAGAATTCTACAACTGGATTCTCACCTGAATCTTAGGGAATGCTTCCAGATACGCTTATACACATCGCTGTTAGGTTGCTTTGCCGGGATAATTAATACATGGGATGTTGAAACACATAGGATGTTTGATGCATGATTAATTTATGAATGAATTTATGCATGAGCTCATGGTTGTTTTTAGTACAGAATCCCTGCATTTTAATACATGATCCGCACGCGGAGCATGTATTAAAAACGGCACTGTATCTAGGCCTCCCAGGTGAGGTCGGAGCAGATGGGGTCGGTGCAGCGCGCCGCCTCGCCGATGCATCGAGGATGCGGCTCGATGTGGGGCCCGATGGTCTCCACACCGACGTCGCCGGTGCATGGATGACGTCGCCGACACCAACACAAAAGTCCAGGGCGTGCACCTTTCCCGCCCCTTTTGGGCCCCAGGGGCCCCCTGTAGGGCCCCTGGAGGGCACAAGAGGTGCACCTCTCTTTCCGCCCCTATCTATCGCAGCTTTCGTTAAGACTCCCTGGAGACAGGCGACTTCTCAGAAGGCCAGAGTGCTTCTGAGAAGCCCCGCCGCCGCAAGGTCAGAGGGCGCGCGGATAGCCTGTCTTTCGCGCCTTTCGTGGTCTCATGCGCATGCCCTTCGTGGCCCCGCTGTCGCTGTCGCTCTCGCTCTCGCTCTCGTTTTCGCTCGTCGTCGTCGTCGTCGCCGTCGTCGTCGTCGCCGTCGTCGTCATCGTTGTCGCGGTCGGTCCCCTGACCGTCCCTGTTGGGGTCGGGTTGCCGCCAATCAGCGCTGCCGCTGGCCAGGCCGACGGTCCGCGGCCGCCCCGTCGTTTGCCGATGCCCAGCCTGCAGGGAAGAAAAATATACCCCCCAGAAAGGGTACGATCGGAGACGAGGAGGCCGGGTATCGAGGGTTTTGGAAATACACGTTGCTTGACACTCGAGCAGGTAAGAGCGAACAGTCTGAAACTGATTGTTATTCGTGTTAGTGTAATTGTTAGTGTTGTTGTTGTTGTTGTTGTTGCTACTGGTGTTGTTGTTGTTGTTGTTCTCTCACTCACTGTCTCTCTCTCTCTATATATATATCTCTTCCCCTCTTTATGACTCCCAACCTCTCTCTTTATGTTCCTTCTCCTCCTGCTCCTACTCCTGCTCCTCCTCCTCCTCCTCCTCCTCCTTCTCCTGCTTCCCCTCTTACCCCTCACTCTCAGAGCCACCCCTTTGCGGAGGAAAGGGCTTGCATGGAAAAGCGGGACGTTTGTATCGTTGTCTGAGTCCGCCGACGTCAGCTTCTCGGGACTGCAGAGTCGCGCGAGATGGCTGGCTGTCCCATTGTCAAGCATAGACTAGCCCAGCGTGGATGCATATGTGGTTGCAACATTGAGGGTCATGACTCGCCTTAGCACTTTCCACGGGTTCCTCACTTAGTCTGAGGGTCGGCGGAGTGGCGAACGCATCTTGAATCAACAACGGTGCTCAGGGTGGCGGAACAGAGGAGGGGGGAGGAGGAGGACGACGAGGAGGAGAAGGAGGAGGAGAACGAGGAGGAGGAGGATGAGGTGGCCGAGCGTCTCCATGAAAGCTCTGTCCACAATCACCGACGAGCTCCCGCACTGTCTGGGAGGTCAGCTGCGTGACGCGCACCGCGGGCGAAATCAGTCTGAGGGCACTCATCCGCCTGCGTAACCCTCTCCGTTTGTTGTGGGGGAGGCGATGGAAGTGATAAAGGACAGCGACAAACCGCAGCCGAGGAAGGGAGCAAGGAGAGAGAGCTAACAATTGGAGCACCGACGACGGCAACGGCGTGCCAGCATCCAGGGCCGCCCATGTAAGGAATCCACAGCACCTCGCGCAGTGAGCGAGTCTGGGGCATCACCGCCCAAGATGCATCGGGGGTCAGGGTGGCGAAGACGGATGTCGCACACGTACACACACACACACACGCCCGTCCAAGTGCAAACGGCTGCCATTGAAGGAGGAGGAAGAGGAGGAGGAGGAGGAAGGGGAGGAGGAGGAGGAGGAGGAGGAGGAGGAGGAGGAGGAGGAGGAGGAGGAGGAGGAGGACGACGAGGAGGACGACGAGGAGGAAGAGGAGGAGGGGGAGGAGGAGGGGGAGGAGGAGGAGGAGGAGGAGGAGGAGGAGAAGGAGGAGGAGGAGGAGGAGGAGAACAGGGAGGAAGAGGCGCCCCACCCCGATCTGGCGCGAGGCCCCAGCATGGACGGCCGGCATCCGCAGCGTCCTGCCGGGCGCCGGCGCCAGCAGGCCGGCGGGGCGCGCGGCGGCCCAGCTCAGGTCCGCCATGGCGCCGCCGCGGGGATCGGCGCACCCGTCCCAACTTGGGCCAGCCGAGCCTGCGCAGTGGACGCGCGCGCAGGCCGACGAACGGGTGCGGCCGCTGCTCCGCAGACTCCCGCTGGAACGGCCCGCTCAGCTGCAAGAGCCCCCCCGCGCAGCCCCGCGAGATCATGCACCATTGGACCTCCCTTTGCGTGCCTCCTCGGGGGACGTCAGCCGGGCACCTCGCCGATCCTGGCAGGGCCGATTCTGGGCCCCGGATGGGAGTATACGCCCGCCTGGCTTCGAATGGGGGGCACATGCGCCAATCCTGGGTTACGGATGGGCCCAGCCAGGATCGATGAGATGGTCGGTTGACGTCTTCCGACCTATCCTCCCCCGCACCCCTCCTCGTTCTTCCCCATCCTCTTCCTCTCCTCCTCCATCCCTGTCCTTCTGGACAACTCCTTCCTCTCGCCCCCCCAGACGTGTCGGTAGGGCGGGCCTGGCGTTTCGCCTGAGGCTTCCTCTCCACTTGTGGTCCTGAAACTCGGAATCCTCTTCAATTGGAGGTTGGGGGTCGAGATCGCAGTGGAAGCCCCCCAACCGTAAAGCGGTTTCGGTGTCGTGTTTGTGTCGCGCGTGGCCGAGACGAAGCGTGGGCGCATGAGAGGAATGACCCCGCCATCGCTAGGGCGATTCGGATGCAGTGGACCGCCCCTCCGCCCCCTGTGGGCGCGCGGTGGCCCGGGGTGTCCGGCCGTGGTGTCGTGTGGTGTCCCGTTGGTGTCCCGTTGGTGTCCCGTCGGTGTTCCGTCGGCGGTGGGCGGACGGTGGCCGGGGGTGTCCCGCCTTGGTATCGATAATGAAGTCGATCGCGAAATCGATGTTGAAATCGATACAACCGGATGGATCATGACATCAAAAGTGATATCGGCAAGGCACCTGATTGTGACATTCGTTGTAAGATCGATCGTGATATCGATAGTGGTATCGATACGAGGAATCGATCGTGTCGGTCGTGTGATCGACAGCGAGATGTACTCATAGTGAGATTTCTAGTGAGCTCGATCGTGGGATCTGTAGTGAGATGAACCGATTGAGATCGATCCTGTGAGGTCGGTGGTGGGGTCGATCGAGAAAGATCGAAGGCGGGGACGATAAGGGGCATTACATCGCAGCGCAACGTCGTCATCACGCGTCGTCGATAATTCGAGGGCGCGTCACCAGCATCGTCATCAAAAGACCCATCGCAAATGCCAGCTGTTGTATCCTCCCCCCCCCCACCCCTCAACCTGCCACAAAGGTGGTCGTATAGGTAGCTACAGGGGCGGGAAGAGGATTTCCCAATAGAGCTCTCGCCCCAGCATCAGCGAAGAGAGGAGGATCCTTTTCAAACTGGAGCTCTCGCCTCAAGGCCACAAGAACTCGTCTTAACTGCCTGCAGCGAGTATAGGATTTGAGGGGGGGGATCAAAGTTTAGCTCTCGAGCTAGCGCAACACACTTTCGTCGTACAAGCTCGCAGCAGCAACAAAGGTGGACGGAACACAAGTCGTTTCAAAATGGATCTCTCGTCATAGCGATGCGCACGTTCGTCTTCACTTGTGCCAACAGCTACACGGATCGAAGGCAACTCCTTTGCAGTGTGTGGCTCTCGCCTCTGCGCCGAGCACATTCGCCTTGAAAGCTTGCATCAGATGCGCTGGAAAGGAGGACGACTCCTTTTCCCAACGCCGCTGACAAGTTTTCCACACAGAGACGCTACATCATCGGCCATATGTACCGGTTGCACGGGTGGATGGCGGCGTCTTGTCAACATGGGGCTCTGGCAGTAGACTTCCTCGAAGTCCATGACCAGATGTGTAGTGCACCAGTTACGCACACACGAAGGCGGTCCTTTTTCAAAACGAGGGTCTCGCTACTTACTCCAGATTTCGTAATAAAAGGGAGGGGGTCTCGACCCTCCAAGACAAGCCATTTCAGACCTCCCCCGTGGGAGAACCCTCCAAAACATCGTCCCCAGACACCCCCAGGCCCTCCAAGATAGCCTGGAAGAGACCCCCGAAATGAGACACCCCTCCCTTGATTACGAAATCTGGAGCACCTGCTCGCATTCCTGATGATTCGCTGGAAGGATGCAGGCCGGTGAATTTTCAAAACGGGAGCCTCATCGCCAGAATGGCAGGCCCGAGGGGTGGGCTTAGGCTCTCTGGTCCTCTCCCGGCCCTCCGCCCCCTCCTCGGTCCTCCCTCGTTTCTCCCCCCTCCTTCCTCCTCCTCCTCCTACCCGTCCTCCTCCTCCCCCTCCTCCTCCGCCTCCTCCTCCTCCTCCTCCTCCTCCTCCTCCTCCTCTGTCTCCTCCTCCTCCTCCTCCTCCTCCTCCTCCTGCTCCTCCTCCTCCTCCTCCTCCCCCCATTTCCCTCCTCCCTCCTGCCTCCTCCCTGCCCCCCCAAACAAAAACGGCCAAGGAAAGCCCGAATGATTCCGCGCCCTCGTCGCGCAAAGAGACCCCCAGGCGTTGGGGTTCTGGCCCCTGGCCCCTCGCCAGCCACCGCCCAGGCACAGCCTCTTTGTGAGGATTGGCCCCATGGCACTCCTGGCCTGGCTGTGCTTTCTAGGCCTTGGCGAAGTAATGCCTAACCGGCGCCAAATTGCAAGGAGATGCGCAGGCAGGGGCGGCCCGTCAGGGGGAGAGGAGGGGGAGAAAAAGAGGAACAGGGGGTGGAGGGCGGGGGCGGTCGTGGTGGTCGTGCAGGCGGGCTTGGTGGTCGTTGTGAGGGTCGTGGTTGTGGCGTTGGCGGACGTGCTGGTCGTGGACGCGGTGGTCGCGGTAGGCGTTGCCGCGGTCGCCAGCGCGCGCGGTCGCTCTGCGGTGGTTGTGCTGGTGGGCGAGGCGGTCGTGGCGAGGGTCGTGGTGGTCGGGCAGGTGGGTGTTATGCTGGTGGTCGTGCTGGTGGCGGTCGTGTGGGTCGTGGTCGTGGTGGAGGTCGGGGTAGGCGTGGCTGTGGCCGCCAGCGCCCCGGCCGCCGTATCGCTGTGGTCGCAGTGGCCGCCGAAGCGTGGCGGCGGCGCTAACTGGCAGTGGCAGCCGTCGCGGCGGACTACCGCCCGAGGGCGCTCAGGACCATCTCGACGCTGCCCGTCTGTAGGGGTCACCGATATTTCCCGCCAGAGGCGGCCCAAGCGCTCGCCCCGCTCGTCCTCCTCGAGGTCGGCGCCATAGCTGCGCACGAAGGCCCGACGAAGGCCACCGCTTCCTCGGAAGGCCGCCCCCCCGGCCTCAAAAATCGTGAGGATAAGCACGAGCCCCTGCCGCGGGGGGTACCGCGTCCTTCTGGACTGCCGCCAGGCCACTCCAGTGGGAGCCGGCCTGCCTGCGCGGGGCATAGGTTGAGTATGTGCAGGTCACGGCCCAGCCCACGAAGACGTGATGCCCGGTGCTGTGATCGACGGTGGCAACGTCGAGCTTGGCCTCCTCGAGGCGGCCTCTGGGGAGGCGACGATCCCACCCAGGCACGCATTGCTCAGTGGGGCAGCGTCCCTCCCTCCCGCCCTCCCGACCTCCTCCTCCTCCTCGTCGTCCTCCTCCTCGTCGTCCTCCTCCTTGTCGTCCTCCTCCTCCTCCTCCTGTCCTCCTCCTCCTCCTCCTGCTCCTCCTCCTCCTCCTCCTCCTCTTCCTCCTCCTCCTCCTCCTCCCCCTCCCCCTCCCCCTTCCCCTCCTCCTCTTCCTCCTCTTCCTCCTCATTCTCCTCCTCCAGACGAGGGAGGGAAGAGGAGGAAGAGGAAGAGGAGGAAGATGAGGAGGAAGAGGAGGAAGAGGAAGAAGATGAGGTGGGGAAGGGGGAGGGGGAGGGGGAGGGGGGGAGGGGGAGGGGAGGGGGAGGAGGAGGAGGAGGAGGAGGGGAGGAGGGGAGGAGGAGGAGGAGGAGGAGGAGGCGGAGGAGGAGGGGAGGAGGGGAAAGAGGAGGAGGAGGAGGAGGAGGAGGAGGAGGAGGAGGAGGAGGAGGAGGAGGTCCTGGGCGCGCTGGTGGGCGGCGGGGCCGCGCGGGCGTGGGGGCCTGGCGCGCCGCTGGCGCCGGCGCCTCGGGCTCGGCCTCCGCGGGCTCGTCCTGAGAAGTGCCAGGAGGGCGGCGCAGGTTGCGCTGGGGGGCAGCGCGGCGCAGATTCGGCCGCGCTGCCCCGCCAGCGCAGCTCCCCCTCTCCAGCGCAGCTCCCCTCGGGGGGTCTGGGCTCGGTCTGCTACTCGAGCTATGACTCAAAATGCCGTTCTCACTCTGCAGCCGCTTTTACCTGATCGGAGCATGTCGATTCCGAAAATCTCGAGCGTGAAAACGAGCTGGGAGCTCTGGCTCTGCGTGCATGCTGCTACGACCAGACGCTTGACCCGAAGCGGGGGCGCGCCGAGGGGTAAGTGAGAGGGGCCGGGCCTTCTCAGCAGGCGGCAAGGCTTCTCAGAAGCCCTCCCGCACTCGGAGAAGCCGCCCGCGCCTCCGGAGCCTCCTGAGGAGGCCCGCCCCCTCTGCCCCCCCCTCCCACACCCCCGACGTCGTGATTTTCTCGCAACGTCGACCCCCAGAGGTCTGGATCCCTTCCCCGGGACCGGCTTTTCGTCCCGAGTCGCTTTTCGACGGTCCCGAGGCCCGGCGAGGGCCCCCAGAGGCCGAAAGTAGCGAAACACCTCCCGTCGTGATTTTTGCCACAACGTAAGGAGGCTCGCCCCCTCTGCTCCCCCCCCCCCTGGGCGGGTGCCCCCACCGAGTCGGGCGCCGCCTCCAGCGATGCATCGGCGATGCGTTGGCGACGTCGGCGGTGCATCGGCGACGCCAGCGTGGAGAAAAATCGGGCTCCGCATCGAGCCGCATCGCCGATGCAGCGGCGATGCGGCGCCCCGATGTATGAGGAAGGCGCCTGGTGGCGGGGCCGAAACCAGCTGCAGGCAGCAGATAGGAGGAGGAGGAGGAGGAGGAGGAGGAGGAGGAGGAGGAGGAGGAGGAGGAGGAGGAGGAGAGGAGGAGGAGGGAGGAGGAGGAGGAGGAGGAGGAGGAGGAGGAGAGGAGGAGGAGGAGGAGGAGGAGGAGGGAGGAGGAGGAGGAGGAGGAGGAGGAGGAGGAGGAGGAGGAGGCGCCGTGCCCCCGCCCCCCCATTCCAGAGCCCTCCCCGTCGTCCGACCCGATCCTGGCCTCGCAGGCTGAGGAGCAGCGCGCTGCTTCAGGACCCCGAGCGTGCTGGATTTCGGCGGCGAGCGAGGGGGGGAACGAGGACGAGGAGGCCTTCTCAGAAGGCGGCGGGACTTCTCAGAAGCACTCGCGCGTTCTGAGAAGTTTTGTTCCGTCTTCGGGGAAGGCTTAGAAAACTTATCAGAAGGCCAAGGGACTTCGCAACCTTCTGAGAAGGCATTCTCCTTCTCACTTCCCCCCTCGCTCGCCGCCAAAGATTGTTCACCCCCTGCCAGACCCCAAAGACAGCGCCCAAGGAACCCCGGCCCCCTGCTGAAGCAAAACCGTCGCTTCTTCTTTCGACGCCCCACACGTCGCACCCGAGCCAGAACCACAGAAGCCAGAACAAGAGAACAAGGCCACGCGTTTCTCGAGAAGATGGCCTGGTGATTGCATCAGGCTGCCCAAACTGTGCTTCGATATGACGTGCGAATTGCTTCGGATGTACGGCAGGCACCTGCCAAGACATCGTCTGTTTCACGGCATGGGCTCCCTGATCTCTTCAATCGATCCCTCAGAATCGCCTGTCGCCGCGAACTTTCTTTCGATGCCCTGGGACCTATAGGTTCGCACATGCGAACGGACACGTTGTGACTGTCTCGCTGCACATGGCCGTCTGCCGCTGGGGGTCCTCTCCCCCGCGCCAGCGCTGCCCCCACGCCGATACGACACGAGCGTGGGGCCCCAGGACACACAAATAAATACACACACAAATAAACTTAATCCCCATATGTTTCCATATTTTTGGGATTTTTTGTCTTCCCCCCCACTTCCCATATTTTCCAATATTTTTCTGGGAATCGACGATCAATTGTGTCTGTGTGTTTTTTCCCCCTCCTGAAACTGGACCTCTGGACCTCTCCTGGAGCGCGCCCAGGGCAAGGTGCCGGAGCCAGTCCGGCCGTGGCGACGAGAACGCCCCCCCCCTCCCCCGGCCCTGGAGGCCCAGGGACGGCAGCGAGGCGATGTTGGCCAAAAAGTTGCAATAACTTCCAACTCAAAAGAAGTAGGTCGAGAAATTGGACACAAGTTGCGATATTTCCAAACTCAAAATAAATAGGTTCAACTGTTTAGCTTTAAATGCTATTGTGCGCAGTTTAATGCGATCTGCGCAACGTCAGGAATTCCCCCCTTTGGTGGTAATATTTCGGCCACCCTGGAAGCCAGAATATTACCACCATCACCGAGATCGGGATCTCCTTCCCTCGGTGGAGGAACACCGCCGATCTTGGTGTTGGTGTCAACCTCTAGGCCTGCGACCCCCGCTTGGTTACACGCAAGAGCGACCCTGGGCAAGAGTGTCCTCTGGAGCGCGGCCTGCCGGTCGCTGCACGCGAGGCGACAGCAGCGGCCTGCGTGCTTGGGCCTGTCTGGGCCCCCCCCCGCCGAGTCCAGAAGCCGAGCACCAGAGGTCACCCTGGTGCGGGCAATGCCTTTATCCACATCCAGTGCGTCTTGGAGTTTCGGACTCTCTTCCCAAGAAACATGAGGCGCACTGGATATGGATCATAATCTGCCTCCAAAAGGCTGAATGTTTATCCATATCCAGTGCGCCTCGGCCTTGCGGCGCCCCTTCCAAGAAAATCCAAGGCGCACTGGATATGGATATAAATATTGCCCGCACCTGGCGATGGGCCTCTTTCGTGCAGCCGAGCCGACCCCCCACCCGGCGTGCCTGTCATGCCGCGACGCCAGGAAATCCGGCGAAGAACCGCCAGGGCCCCGTCGAGACTCTGAGCGCCCGTGCCAGCCGCCGCTTCTAACACCGTGACGCCCGCGGGTCTCAGCTAGGCCGCCAGAGCACTTCCGAGGCTTTGGGCGCCCACGCCCGCGCCGGCCGCCGCCACCGAGGCGGCGCGGACCTGCCATCCCAAACATCCGATATCTTACTTTGCTCAATGTCCCAGCCCCTTCCCTCCAGGGCCGGGGCTTTCATCCCGGGTCCTCTTCTGACGGTCCTGGGGCTCAGCGAAGGCCCCCACCGCCCGACAACTGCCAGTACGAAACTCCCGTCGTGATTCTTCGCGACGCGAGCATGTCTCCGACCTCGGACCTCATGCGCGCACCGCCCACGCAGCTGCCGCGGGGCGCGGCGCGCCGCCGCAGCAACCCAGCAGAAAGCGCACCCGCCGCAGAGGGGGCACCGGCAGGGGCGCCTCATTTCACCTGCTGCGGCTCCCGGGGAGGGGCGGGCGAGGCAAAGGCAAAGGACGAGGACAGACACACGCACACACTCACACTCACACTCATATTCACACACATATGCGCACACACACACACACACCACACACACACACGCGCGCGCGCACACGTACACACAGACGCACGCACGGACGGACGCACACATGCACGCACACGCGCACACGCACACACATAGACACACACAGACGCACACACACACGCACACACACAAACACATACATACCCACACACACACACACACGCACACGCACACGTTCACACACACACACGCACGAACGCACACACACACACACACGCACACACACACACACAAACACGCACACGCACACGCACACACACAACACACACACACACAAACACACACAAACACACACACACACGCGTACACACATGCACACACACATTCGCACGCACACACACATACACACGCACACACACAAACACGCACACACACACACGCACTCACACATTCACACGCACACACGCACACGCACATACACACACGCACACACACACATACACACACGCACACACACACACGCAAACGCACACAGACACACACGCACACACACACACACACACGCACACGCACACGAACACACACACACAGACAAACACACACACACGCACACACACGTACACGCACACCACACACAGACACAGACACACACAAACACACAACACACACAACACACAACACATGTCACAACACACAACCCACACACACACACACACTTTTGGCTTCGCGGCCACGCTCGAGGCGGCGCGACGTAGAACATCGGGCGAAGAGACGCGCGCGGGTGGACCAGGTCATGCGGCGTGGGGACCCAGGATCGGCCCACAGGGGATCACACACACGCACGCACACAAGGTCATACGCGAAAGGTGCGTGGACGCCGACACTACTGTACAACGCTTTGCTTCCACATGCGCAGACCATACACAAGGTGAGAGCTCAGGCTGGCACGAAATGCTTCCCTCACCTTGCAACTCTATTTGGGGTCCAGATTGGTACTCTAGTTGGGGAGGAAAGAAGACCCTGACATGGTCGCGCCGTGTAAAAATCACGACCGGAGGGTTTGGGCGATTTTCAGCTCTCACCGAGCCCCAGAACCGTCAGACACGGCTCAGGATGATAAGCTGGTCCCTGGGAAGGGGTCCAGACCTCTGGGGGGTCATGTAGCAAAAAACACGACGACAGGAAGTGAATCTCTAACTTTAGAGCGAGACGGCCATCGCCATTCTCTAAATCAAGCGGTTGAACGTGGATCTTCTTGTTGCGCTTCTGTGTGAGATGACTACGATATATACGAAACAATCTTATTAGGAGAAACAGGCGCACTTCTTGGGCATGCGGCGTGCTCCGGAAGAAAGGAGAGCCAAGTAAAGATGATCAGATGGGGAGGAGAGAGGAGGGATGAGGTTGCTCTACGTGAGTGCGCACATAGATGCTGATTGCACCCTGGAACGAGCGAGCTCAGACTTCCCTGGCAATGTCATGTCCCTCCGTGCCTCAGACGACTCACAGCTCATCCAGTGGAGCACGGCAGTGGCGAGCTGCGAAGCGCGCGAGGTTCTGGAGCGGCGGACCTGCGTCCGGTGGGAGCTGGAACTCCGGCGGACGCAGCCCCGCGCAGCCGTCCCTCGGGCTCAGCATGTACTCGGCGCTCGCGTACTCCTCGGCGCTGGGCACTGTCACGTTGTGATGCTCCCTCTCCAGCGCGAAGCCATATATGAGGAACATCAGCGTGGGGCTGTGATGCGGTGCCCCGTAATCCACGAGTAACTCCGTTCCCGCGGGCAGATCTCTCAGAGCCTTGAGGCAGAAGTCGCCCCCGTGGTTGAGTATCTGCTGGACGTTCAGCTCAGGCTCGGGAGCCGTGTTGGGCATGTCCGCCAGGGGAGTCATGCCTACGCCCCCAAACTGCCGAGTCAGCAACCAGACGTAGGTGAGCTTCACCTCCGCCCACGTGGGCGACTCCCTGCCTCCATGGCAGAGGTGGAGTCTTCCCAACCACATTTTCCACAAATCCACGCTCTCGTCGAGCTGGAAGCCTTCCAGATATGCCGGGTGGAAGCGCCTGTACGCCTCCTCGGTGGGCAGCACTGGAAAATATGGGCTGTAGAAGGATTCGGGGCCCTTCTTGACCTCGTTTGCCAGCCAGAGCGCCATCCTCTCGTTGGACGTGCAGTGTGTCCCAGGCCCGTCGTCGAATGGGTCCGGCAGCACGTCCTCGTTCAGCCAGCACGCCTTCGGGATGCAGAAGACGTGGTCGCCCTTGGCGACGTCCGAGCTCACGCCCAGGCCCCGCACGGGCGCGCCCCCGTGCGGGAAGCTCGCCACGTGCACCCTGCTGGTGCCCTTGGCCTTGCACGTGTCCTCGAGCCAGGCGCACATGGCCGCAAAGCCCAGGTCGGGCGCGTCGCGGCTGCACGGGATGCGCTCCAGTGGCGCGACCGGCTCCTGCGACCCCGCCGCCGCGCCGCCGCCGCCGCCGGCCAGCAGCAGCAGCAGCGCAGGCGCGCTGCCAGCGGCAGGCCTCCGGCGCGGCCGCCAGGGCGCCACCGGGAGCGGCCTCGGCATCCCGCAGCGGGAGGGGCCGGAGGGGGCAGTCCTGGAGGGGCGGGGGCGGGAGGGAGGGAGAGGCGAGAGGGGTGGCCGGGCTCCTGCCCCCCGCGCAAGCGCACAGCCAACAAAAAGGGCTGCGCAGCGGAGGTCGAGGAGCCCCATGGGGGTCCTGAGCAGCTCCCGCAGCGTCGGACCCTCCGAAGGAGCCGGGCGCGCTGGCGAGTGGAACGCGGCTCCGACCCTGCGATTCGCAAACCGGCTCCCAGGGCGACCCTTCGGTTTTGGAGCGTGCACGGAGGTGCGCTTCCCGCAGCCGAACCAACGATTGTGCGGCACACGCACGCGCGCACACGCCATCCCAACGGACGCCGTGCGAGTCCGAAACCCGTCCGAGATCGATGCAGCGTCATGCAGAAGGTGGCGCGGCGGAGGCGCAGGCACGCGCGCAGAGCAGCTCCCGTCTTGCTGCTCTGCCGCCTCTCCTCCTCATGCTCCTCCCTCGACTCCCTCCTGTCAGCTTCGGGGCAGCCGAGGGGGGTGGGGGGTGGTGACGAGAGGGAGCTGTCCGAGGACCAGGAGGAGGGATAAGAAAAAAAAAAGGAAGAGGAGGAGGAGGAGGAGGAGGAGGAGGAGGAGGAGGAGCAGGAAGAGGAGAAGGAGGAGCAGGAGGAGGAGGAGGAGGAGGAGGAGGAGCTGGTGGGGGTGAGGACGACTGAGGATGCGAAAAGACCACATGAGGATGGATCAAGGGAGAGGGGCATGCTCAGGTCTAGCCATTGCGCAGGAAGCCTTTCACGGAGGGCCCCGACGACCTGGCGAGCCTTCCGCAGGAAACGCCCTCCGGCCCACCAGTCAGCGCGCGGCGGCCGTGTACAGCCGCCGAAAGCACCCGACCTCGACAGAGCAGCACCCCCCCGAGACCACGGGCCCTCTGACGCTCTGGCAGCCGAGACGGCTCTGCCGTCAACGCTGCGTCACTGCATGCCGACTGGAGCCCAGCGGCGTGCGGCACGCGCTCCTGCGGGCCGCCGACCTCGACTCCTTGCCTTCGATGCCGTCGACAGGGGCAGGCACTCCCCGGAGCCTGGCCGCAGCCCGCCGCCAGCACCGAGGGCCTGACCCCACCGCCACTGCAGCCCCGAGGAGGCGACCCCTCCGCCGCCGGTCTGCCGCACCGGCCTCTGCTGCCGAGGCCCCCCTCGCCCGTCGCCGCGCGGGCGCCGACCTCCTCGAGGCGCTTCGCGGCGAAGCCCCGACCGGACGCTGCGGGCTCTGCTGGCATCCCACAGTGGCTCGGCACGCAAGCCTAGCATCCAAGATGCGCTGAAGCCCACTGGACCTCGTCCCCGCAAGGGCGGTGCCCGAGACGTCAGATGGCAACTTCACCATGCGTTGCAGATCCTCCTCGTCTCTGGCCTGCCCCTTCTGGTGAGAGCCGCTGCGCTCTCGTCGATTCCGCCCCTGCCGCTGCCCTACTTCGCCTGCTGCCGCCTTCGTTGGCACAGTCCCCGCGATAGGTCTGGCATCCGCAGCGCCTGGCAGGCCCCGCAGTGCAGCAGCTCCTCTGCAGAATCTGCAGAGGCTTCGCCGCCGAAGTCGGCGAACACCTCGCCTCCTCGGTCGGGTGCCGCACGCCCTGCGGCTCGGGGACGCACTAACCCTGGTCAGAGCAAACCCGGGTCAGCCAGAGGATCTCGAAGCGGATTGGCTGACCCGCGCTAACGCTGACCCCCATTACGTGAGCTGGGGGGGGGGGGCCGCCACCTCCGCCGGCGTCTGACACTGCCGTCGCTGAGTTCGGCAGGGCGTCCCTGACGCCCTCGTCCACAGCCTCGCTCGGCAACTCGGCCGCCGCGCAATCGGGGTGGCCCAACCCGCCACCTCGCTGTCCAGTCCACTGCGCTGATCGCTGGCCTGAGGACGTCGCCAAGGCACGCGCGTCGGGAGCGGCCAAGAGGGGGGGGCCCAAGAGGGGAGGTGCAAATCATGACCGGCGGCATGCGCGCGGCCCAGCGGGGGGGGCCGGGGACGTAATTGAATAAGAAGGGGCGCCGTGAAATCTGGGGGGAATATCATGGCCCCCGCCATGATATCCACCCCCCCCTAGTCAGCACCCCCCTCTTTGCCGCCCCCGAGCGCGGCCCGCCGCCCTCTCTAGCAGCTGCAGCCCGGGATGAGGTGCGCCTGCAGGCCGTGCAGTCCAGCCCCCCACGCGCTGCCAAGGGCATTCGGATTCGGCAACGCCAGCTCTGTGCGCTCCTCCAGCGGGGCGCGCTCGATCATCTCGACATGGCCCGGCGCCAGCCTGTGAACAACCATCGGGCGAACGAAGCTGTGCTGCGGGCTGAAGAAGGGCCGCAAACTTACCAGTCAGACTGCCTGGCCGTCCTGGGCTCAGGTAGCGACAGTGGACACGAAGGACCTCGAACTGCAGGCGGCAAAGAGCGGTGCTGCTCCGCATGAAGGCTGGGCGCTAGGCTTACAGCAGCAGTTGGCACCAAACGCAGTGAGGCCAGAACCCTCTAACATGCAAAAATGACCTCAACGATGGCATTTGGAAGCGAATCTGTCACAGAGGGGGGTCTATGTTCTCAGTGGCGGGCGAAGCGTGGCTCTATCTGGGCCGCCCTCTGCCCACAAAGCGAGACAGGGTATGATCCATGCTTGCGCAGATGTCATCAAGAGCAAGGAAACACGGGAAGACGGGCAGGAAAAGGGGGAGGAACAGGGGGAGGAGGCAGACGAAGCACGGAGTTAATTAGTCAAGCGATAGTGCTCCTCTTCGTCTCGTGCAGCGTAGAGGCAGGTTCGGCTGGACCCCCCCTTCGTCGACAGTTGCCCTCCCCTCCCTCACGTTTTCTTCTCTCTCTCTCTCTCTTTCTTTCTCTTTTTCCTCGCATCTCCTCTCCTCTCCTATTCTCTACTCTCCTCTCCTCCATTATCCTCTTCTTTTCCCCTCCCCCACCTCCTTTTCATCCAACACTTCGGGAATGGCTGGCGGTCGTGCGCACCCACCGAAAGGAACTATAGCCAACCGCAGTGGTCGTGCCCCATTGCATACTTTTGTTGCGTTGCCCTGCTCAGCACTGCTTCCTGAGTGGGACAGAACAAATCACAACACCACATCCTGATATTCCCGCTTCTGATCCTCCTTTTCCTCCTCCTCCTGAGCATCCTCCGAATCATCATTAACCTCTCCGTCATCCTCCCCCACCTCCTCCTCCTCCTCCTCCTGCGCTTCCTCTCCAACTCCTCCTCCTCCTGCTTCTCCTCCTCCTCCTCCTCCTCATCATCATCCTCTTCTTACTCCTCCATCTTCTCCTCCTCCTCCTCCTGCTGCTGCTCCTCCTCCTCCTTCTTCCTTTTCTTCTTCCCCTCTCCGCAATTAAACCATATGAATACTACTCTCCCCTCTCCCCTGGTGGCGTCCGGGAAATGGCCGGCCCCCGTCCGCCTACTTGTCTGTTGCACACAGGAGTTCCCGGAAACGGGTTTTCGCTTGGGCTCTTGTTCCGAATGCTGCTCTCACTCCTCCTCCTCCTCCTCCTCCTCCTCCTCCTCCTCCTCCTCCTCCTCCTCCTCCGCCTCCGCCTCCGCCTCCGCCTCCGCCTCCGCCTCCGCCTCCGCCTCCGCCTCCGCCTCCTCCTCCTCCTCCTCCTCCTCCTCCTCCTCCTCAGCGCTGGCCTCAGTTTCGGGCTACCGCTCGTTCCGAATCGCACTCCCGCTGCAGGGCTGGTTTTCCTTTCCGCGCCTCCGTTCGTTCCGACTCGTGCTCCCGCTAGCGGCGCTGGCGTCACTGTTTCCAGCGCCAAGCCACGGCATGGTTTTCGATCCTGCCAAACAGGCCCCACAGTCTGGAAAATGCCTCCCGAAAAAGCCATCGGAAGTGATTACACATTCGGTGCCGATTTGTGGATTTTCTGGCGCCGCATTGTGGGGCGTCGCCACGCCATACTTTGTCAGGCTACGCGTCCTCATTTCCGCGCTTCCGCGCTTGGGTGTTTTCCCAACCATCTTGTTGTGTTGGGTCCTCGTTTTGAAGAGACAGCGCCCCGCGTCACCTCCTCCTCACTCCTCCTCCCCTTCCTCTTCCTCATCCGCGAGGTACTGGTGATGTGCCAGGAATGGTGTCGGGGGGAATGAACCTGAGTTGTTTTGGCACAGCCGCATGCGGGAACCGCCACCCATTTTGGCACACCCCTCACATGGTTCGTGGCCCCACAGGGAAGGCCACCGAAGGCCCCAGTGGCACAAGCCGCATATGGGGACCGCCACCCATTTTGGCACACCCCTCACACGGTTCGTGGCCGCACAAGGGGGCTCCACCGAAGGCCTCAGCGACACAGGCCGCATGCGGGGACCGCCACCCACTTTGGCACACCCATCGCACGGTTCGTGGCCCCACAGGGAGCTCCACCGAAGGCCCCAGTTGCACAGGCAGCATGCGGGGACCGCCACCTATTTTGGCACACCCATCACACGGTTCGTGGCCTCACAGGGAGCTCTACCGAAGGCCCCAGTGGCACAGGCCACATTTGGGGACTGCCACCCATTTTGGCACACCCCTCCGTGGCCCCCCAGGGAGCTCCACCGAAGGCCCCAGTGGCACAGGTTGCATGCGGGGACCGCCACTCATTTTGGCACACCCCTCACACGGTTCGTGGCCCCACAGGGAGCTCCACCGAAGGCCCCAATGGCACAGGCCGCATGCGGGGACCGCCACCCATTTTGGCACGCCCATCACACGGTTCGTGGCCCCACAGGGAGCTCCACCGAAGGCCCCAGTTGCACAGGCCGCATGCGGGGACCGCCACCCACTTTGGCACACCCCTCACACGGCTCGAGGCCCCACAGGGAGCTCCACCGAAGGCCCCAATGCCACAGGCCACATGCGGGGACCGTCACTCATTTTGGCACACCCCTCACACCGTTCATGACCCCACAGGGAGCTCCACCGAAGGCCCCAATGGCACAGGCCGCATGCGTGGACCGCCACTGATTTTGGCACACCCCTCACACGGTTCATGGCCCCATAAGGAGCTCCACCGAAGGCACCAGTGGCACAGGCCGCGTGCGGGGACCGCCACCCATTTTGGCACGCCCATCACGCGGTTCGTGGCCCCACAGGGAGCTCCACCGAACGCTCCAATGGCACAGGCCGCATGCGTGGACCGCCACTGATTTTGGCACACCC